TGTAATCTCTCCGCCAATTACAGTCGATATATTCTCATGTTCTCTTAAGACAGTCAACTAATTTGAACCCTGGAAGAATTTGTATTTCTACATATTCACAACCAAGTAGGTTCATGGAGCTAGTCATGAAAATATCCAAGTGTAAATATGTTGCACGACACAAACATGAAACGATCAAATCACCATCGTCACATAATCATAAGCGGCTAGCTTCGGGAGGAAATTCTCAGAGTTCCAGTGGGAAGACGTGAACATTGGAGGTAGTTACCCACTGAAGACAGTGTAATATCATGGACTGATTGATGTTAGACAATAACGCCATTCGAGGCTGGCCCATTGGTCTAAAAGGTAAGTGTTCACACACAAGACCGAAGGTCCGATTCTCGAGGTCTTGAGCGCAAACTGCTGATGAGCTTCATACTGGGATGAGATGGTCTTTCAGTGCTTCCAGCTTCATTATAGTGGTATAGTATTAACCAGTTAATGATGTCAATTAAATCAGCTTATTAATAAACAACAATATCTCTCAAAAATTATATCCTACAACTATTCATAGCATACTACGTCTAGTAATGTATTAAACTATAATTGAACTGTATGTACATATTAAAATGAATGATTATCAAAAAGTTAACTAATTTTCAAAATTATCAATATTAAGAAAGTATGAAATCCTAAGGAACTTTATTTACATATAAAACTGAATTATTCGCATAAAGATTCTCATTTGTTTTAAATATTATTTGGCCTAAACATAATAATCAGATAGTCATTTGAAGTATTCATCTGATCACACAATAAACCTTTTTGTTGCTATAAATAATTGAGTAAAACGAATCACTGCAATAACGAATTGATCACTGTTCGATTTCAGCTAGCGGAGGTTGTGGATAAGCTCTACTAGGACGAAACTGCTGCTTAGTGCTTCTCATAACAATCTTCATAACTCTATAATGAAAATTAAAATAATACATCCTAATTGATCAGAGTTTCGAAATTGGATATCAATGCGATGGTTTAGTGGTGAAACGTTCATTATGATACCTTGACGTAGTGGTCGGGCTTGCCTATTTTGATGACCCAACCGAGCTATATTGGCTGGAACATATGTTCCTGAAGGTTCTGCCTTGCCAGGTAGGTCGATTGGAGAATGGTAAAACTAAAAGCAGCAACTCGGGGTCTGACGGCGAAGTCGTGCTGCCGACTGTAGATGAATCTGACAGCGGCAAGGTGGTTCCTTCGCACAACCAGCATCTGCAGCTGTGCTGCCTTCTTACAATGAAGGAAGGGGTGAGAAAAGGTCAACCCTAAAAATGTCACACCTCATCTCACCCCACCTCATGCATTTTTGCCTGCAACGATAAGGCCTTTTAAACAAGAGCAGAGCCAACACTTAAGAAACTTTTCATAAAATGGCAGTGCGCGACCGGCCTCAAGCAGTTGTCCCTTAGGCTCTGAAGTCACGCTCCCAGCTCTCTATGGTCAACACTAATCTACCTTCCTCTTCAGGTTCTTCAAGAAACACCCTTCCACGGTGTGGGCAGCCGCCCTAATACCCGTAACAGCACACGAGACCAAATCGGTCATAATCAAATCCTTCCTACACCCCTAATATCTCTCTTATCTCCACAACTAACTCTTCTCACATTCCTTTATCACAGCGCACCGCTAATGCAAACGATTCGAGTTCCCGAACCGTTATTCCTGGTCTCTTGAAACTCCGTTCTAAACTACAATGCTGGAGCTTTTAATGTTCGAACCCTGTGTCAAATGGGGCAACAGGCTTCATAAACTAGAACTCTGGAACCCCGGGCGATCAAAGTGTGTTGCGTCTCCAAAACGTGCATACAAGATCGTAGTAAAATCATCAATTCGATTTCACCTGGTGCAGAGAGAGAAACAACACGATTTACGCATTGTTTCTCGTGGCCCTGATGCTGCTTCCCGGGGTCTCGCTGGCGTAGATTTAGCATTGAGTCCTAGAGCAGAACTAGCTCTCATAGACTGGATACCAGTAGACAGTCGCTTATGCGCTGTCCGACTAAACGGTACAGTATGAACTTCTAAAGATAGGGAAACTTACCGTTGCCTCTTCGCCGTATCTGCCTACGCTCCCACTGACTGAAGTTCAGACGACACCAAAGATGAGTTTTACAGAAACCACTCTAACCTCCTCCAAAAAGTTAGGCACTCTGATATAGTTATAATGGCTGGTGACTTTAATGCTCATGTAGGTAGACTAAGTGAAAAGGAAAGACACCTGGGTGGATCTTATAGTGTCGCTGCTAATAGAACAGATAATGGCGACCGTCTGCTAACCAAAGGATGAGTCTGCTGAGCAGTATTTCACTCCATCCTACTTTATGGCTGTGAAACATTGCCGGTAAGCATTGAAGATATTCGCAGGTTGTTAGCATTTGATTATCGATGTGTTCGGAGCCCGTGTATCCTAAGACAACCGACTAAACAATGCTGTTGTTAGGAAACGAGTTCTAGGTGAGGATGGCAGTTCAATAGATGAAGTAGAGACTTCATCAGTTGAGGTTATTGGGACATGTGTTGCGCATCCTCAACCACCGACTACATCTATCTTTCTCTTTCTAAATTTATTTCACTGAATTAGGCTTCTTGAATAATATCTTCGAACGCCAATCTTCTCCTTTACTTCTAATACTTCTACTATCTCTATCACTATCGGATTTGAACTGACAATTGTGCCTCTGTGCTAATGTGGTATGGCAATCTGAACTTATTTACGTAAGTACGAAGTTCGGAGCTTTAAGTGACTGACTGACTGAAAAGCAGCAACTCAAGATCTGGCGGTGAAGTCGTACTTCCGACTGTAGTAAGGTGTTTCTCTCGGATAACCAGCATGTACAGTAATGCTGCCTTCTCACAAGGAAGGAAGTGGTTAGAAAAGGTCGATCATAAGAATGTTCCATCTCACCTTACCCCATGGATTTCCGTTTCCCGTGATAAAGCCTTTTGAAGAGCTTGACCGGTTTTAAGCAAACGTCCCTAAGGCTCTGTGGTAAGTAGTAGTAGCAGTGTGAGTAGTATTAGGTGATGTTGATGAGTTTGATCCTCAAGTAGGTAGATTAAGCGAAACTGAGATACACCTGGGTGGGTCTTACACAGTTGTGGCCGATCAAGTTGATATTGGCGACAGTCTATTGCACCTGTGCTCAGATAACCAGCTATTTCTAGCAAATTCTCACTTTAAGCATAAGCAAAAACATCTTTTGGCTTGACGATCCTCGGAATCGAATCAACGCTGAACCCGACTAGACCACATTGCTTTTAGTCACCGATGGAAAGGCTCGATTGAAGACTGTCGTTCATTCTGGAGCATATGTTCAGATTCAGATCATACTCTAGTATGAGTATGCATTTGTCTGTGGCTTACTGGACGTAAGAAGGACAGCAATGAAACCTCTTACAACTCTACTTTATGATAATAGCCAAGAATATATTTCGAAGGCAACTAGAAAAACAGTCACGCAGTCATGAAAGTGATGCCCACCCCATCCGGCAGCTTGGAATGATATCCAAAAGGCTGTGGAAACAAGAAGGATATCTGCCAGCTGGTTAACTCGAAAGGTTAGAGAGGATCAGTGGATCTAAGTGGCATCTACCTAACTGATAGATGCTCGGAAACTCATTTGCTTCAATGATGCTTCGACACCTAACTAAAGCTCGCGAAGAGCGGACTCGCGAGAACCAGGCTAGTTTCAGAGCTGTACATGAGTGTATAGACTAAACATCCACATTCCGACATCTCCTAGAACGTAGACACTCGTTCAGCCGTCACATAATAGTTGTTTCTCGACCTTAAGGCGGCGTTTAACTCTCGATAGTGAGGTTCAGTGGCAATCACTGTCATTGAAAGGAGTACACTAACTTTGTACAGGCTCTCTATTCGAATACTACTGGTCGAGTTAGATCTTATGGTGAACTGACATATGAAGTGATTACTTCAAATGATGTTTATCAGGGCTGTGCACTTTCTTCATACTTAACTTTGTAATCATGCTTTTAGAGACGACACTTTCATCGTCCGGTGTTAATAAAAGGGCACTAGGTAAGGATGACAGGTCAACTGAGGAAGTAGGGGATCTTCATCAGTTGAGATGTGTTGTATATGCCCAACCACCGACTAGATCGACGAACGATGTTGTCTGATCTAGGAGTAGGCTGGGAGAAAGCTAGGGGTGGTCAAACCAAAACATGGGAAGTTATTGACAGCTGGATTGAAACATGTTGGTGGAGATCACCTGACTGGAGTCAACGAGACAATAGTAACCAGCGGTTAGAGACTCTGGATGACATGGCTCGAAATGGCTTGCAATGGCGCAGATGAATCTGTAGCACCTCACATGTATATTGTAATGTTGAGTTTGTATGCTTGGGGATTGCTTATCGCCTACACACAGTCATTCGACTAACATTATCGATTAACTGTTTGATTAATTCGATAGCAATATCGACTACATTAATTTGTATCAATCGTCATATATTTTGAATAATAAGAAATTGTGGCAACGGCTAGCGCTGACTGGTTTCTCTCAAATTCTAATTCCTCAGGATATTTTTCTTTTTTAAAGCTATTTCATTGGGATATACTTCTCGAATCATATCCTCAATCGCTAATCTTTTCGAATACCACTAATACTGTTATAGACTCTACTACTCTGAGATTAGGTCTGACAATTTCATCTATATGTCCTAATGTGGTATGACCACTTGAACAAACGTAAGTGCGCATAAAGTCTTACGTTGCTGTTGACTGACTGTTCTCCTTTGATTTAAAATGATTACATTATTGTTGATTTTTGTTTAGCATTGGTATAAAGCTGATATATTACTCAACAAAAGTTAACATTACAAAGATTGATATCAGGAAAGTAACTAACCATCCATTATAACTCTAAATAACTTAGATGATGCTTTTTGATTTTATTACTTCATCTTATTCAACATTAAAAAACAAATTTTACATATTCATTCTTTCATAAAATCGATGTTAGTTACATAAGAAACAATTTGTGATTTGAAAAAAAAACTTTTAATTTAAACCACAATACTCTCTTGGAAATATGGGAAATCTCCCAAATACAAGCCAAGAGCTAATTGTCTACCACGTAAACAATATGTTTCAATATTTACATTAAGATATTGTTTACAGGAACAACAATCACCCATATATTCACAACAATCTATTGGCCAACTCATTTGAATTAATTGGCCAATAGAAGAATTTCTAGGAAGATATATTAGAAGTTTATTACAAACATGTCTTGAAACATTTAATGCTTTACTAAGGCAAAGAATATCTTCAAGATTTTTAATTGGTTCCATTTCTTCCAAATCATCTAACCAATGTTTTCGTTTACGTTGATTCCAACTAGTTGAACCAGGTGGGAAAATTTTTCCCATGTAATCAGGACCACCCCAAGGTGGTGACATGAATATAATATCGATAAGAGAGTTAAATGTAGAATTAGTTAACTTCTCCAAATTTTGATTTTCATTTAACTCTGAACTCGCTTCTAATGGGATTTCTGAATTATTTGAAACAGATGACGATGAACTTTGATTTTCAGATGACGGATTTAAGTTGGATTGTAAAATATTATCATTCGTATGAACTGATGTCTCTGACAAAATATCTACAGATGGTTCATCATTTCTAGATAATATTACACTGTGATTTCTATTAGATGAACAAATGGAAGTTGTTTGCAAATGATCACTTTCAGAGTGACTTTCTAAAGTTGATACGCCTGTATCATCATTATGATTATTATAAATTGTAGAACTAGTAGACGATAACTGAACAGTTGTTCTTAAACTGGTTAAAATTTTTTCTACATCTCCACAAACTAGCATAATTTTGGATAGAACACCATATATACTTGCATTACTGTGAAGCATTAACAAACGTGGGAAACAATTTTCAATGGCTAAAACTAGAAGTTAAGCCAAAAAAAAGAAATGAGGTGAATTGAAGTTTCAAAACAATTTAAACCAACCAAGCAAAGTTCATAGATATCCTATTACATAACATCGTAACCCATCAAATATGATAGAGCATACATTACCAATGGTGCTGAATTTTCCTTTCATTTAAATAAGTATTACTTAACAATCAAAAGTATTGATTTATCTGGTTTGATCATACATATGAGTGAGCATTCATGGATATCAAATATGAATTGATTTTGATGCTGTTACGCGTATGAGGGGTGCCGATACCGTAGAAGGGTATTTCGTTGGGAACCTGAAGAAGACAATGGGTTAGTGTTAGCCTGAGCAACTTGAAAGCATGACCGTAGGGACAATGGGACAACAGCTTGACTGGTCGCGCACGGCCTTTTTATGGAAAATTTTCAGTGTTAACTCCGCTCTTTATATGGCCTTACCGCCGGAGACGGAAATCCGTGAGGTAAGGTGAGATGAGGCATTTTTCGGCCCAACCTTTTCTAACCACTTCGCTGCACATGCTAGTTGTCCGAAGGAAGCATATTACTGATAGTACACTCCTCTACCGTCGGCAGTACGACTTCGCCCCCAGACCCTGAGTTGCTACTTCTAGTTTAACCGTTCTTCAATCGACCTACCTGGAAAGGACAACCTCATAAATTGAACAGGATCTGTATTAATAATCGGGAACTTCAATCAATAATAATGAGGACTACTTGGCTTTCAGTGATTGTTGTACAGGTATAATTTACAAAACTGACAGCAAAAATAATAAAATTGACATTGAACTCTTACCAAGTTTACAAGTGTACGCAAACTGTATGGTATTTCCCCCAACACCTGCAAAAGCGTCCACGAGTAGATCACACGAACAAATTTTCGCTTGACGACGAGCAATAGCTTCTGGTGTTATACTATACCATGATTCTAGCAGGAAATATGTAAAACAGAGGGATAACAACTTTACTCTCCTTTCGAAGATGGGCATACAATGAATTTGATACAGCATAGTTTAGACTAGCAGCTTTTCAACAAACATTATAATGCTAGGCGCACATCTGAAACCATTAATAGGTTTATTTTCACATGACTTCTGTTCGACCTGCTAACAAATTAAACCTGTGTGCTAGGGCCGAAGGACGAGACTATAATTTATGGACGAATCAACCGCACTTGAAATAACAAAGCCTGAATAAGCGTGAAATTTATCTATCACTATGACTAAATAACATTTCAGCATCGTAACTGGTGTCATTTCGTGAAAACCTTCAACACTTAAATCCAGTTATAAATCCTGTTCCTAATTCCTCCAACCCGTTCATATCCCTCCTTTAACCCTAGTAAGTAGTTGAGTATTTTCACGGTCACTTTGGTACCCTTATAGTTTCACCAGCCGGTGATACTGTATGAAGTCCGAAACCGAATGGGGTGTACCGACGAGAGAACATGAGATATAACAGCTGAAAATCAAGTACCTTGATAACAGAGTTGCTACCTAATTTCTATGCAACAAGACTAGATGAGGTAAGTGTCTGTTGGATAAGAATAATCTGGAAACACCGGTATTTTTCTAACCCTATGCACTAATTGAATTGGAAAAGTCGCCAACGACAAGTAATACTTTTTCTCAGAAGTAACAATTACCGAGATAAGTAACGCGATATTAGGCATTGTTTCTAATGCTAATACGCAGACTTCGTTTTAACATTCTAGACCTAGGAGACACTACCTTAATCATTTGGTTGGTAATGATAATCACAAATCAACTTACCTTCATCCAGCTGAACACCCTCATCAAACCGTTCAAAAAGATCATATCTTCGTTTCCAGTATTTTGGCAATACTTTGCTGCTGTTGTACAATACTTTAGCACTAAAAAGTAGTGTCAAGAAAAGCAACACTCTCAAACACCTTGTTTCTTTTCCTCAAGACTTCGGTCAGACTGACAGGTGTGAAACGTTGGGATGGGATTGCAATATCATCATCTGTGCTGCTAACTTTATTATTAGTGGCTTCACCTTCATCATCGCTAGACGACACATCCGAGAGCGAATCTATGAGACCACTAGGGTGTAACGCATTCATCGATAAGAAGCACGATATACTTACTGCTCAAACATCCAATATCCAATGTTCTTTTCAACAGCTTATGTAAAGTTAATGATTTATGTACCCTCGATTCCTGTTCTTTCGGTACGGTAGTAGGTATCTGTTAGTGTGCTGTGGATAGTGGTCTAGCCACTCGACTGAACTAATTCTAGTCGGTTGGCAGTTGTTTGTAAGTTTGTATCTAATATCTAATATCTTTGTATGTCCCGTGTTTTGAATGATTACGTTTGTTTCAGGGCAGTAGGGTCTCTGTATATCACAAGCTATCACATTACCAGGTCAGAGATCAGGTAGTTGCATTGTGAAGAATAGTGAGAAAACTGCAGTGCTTATGAGAAAAAGATTTCGAAACTAAGTAAATAAACCGATAATTCAGTCCAACAATTTGTAGTGAAGATTGTGTGAGAGAATCAAAATGCGAGCAAGGGAGGGGAAACAGAGAGAATAAGCGAGACAGAGTAAGTTAGTGATCAGAGGATGTGGCAATAATAACAACTATCAGATCTCAAGACATGCATCAGGCACAGCTGGTCCACGAGAGAAAAGATAATCCGTATGTAAGTACGTGCTTATCAAGTCTCTCCTTAAAGCTGTCTACCAAGGGAGTTGTGATGAACTCCGATAGGAGTTGCAAAGAGAAAAGTGTACACGAACCTGAGTATTCATTCTTTAATGCTCAGTTTTTCGAGGATTTTCCCGAGGGATGTGGTGGTGATGCTTCGGTAAGATGGTCACGTTGAAATAGTTTGACGTGCTTGTTGTACGCCATAATCAGATCACTCTGATTCTCCTATAACTCAGGGAGACTTGTCAAAAGTTCTGGAGTCCATTTTGGTATGTTTTATTCTCCAATACTATCGCCCATTTCGTTACTCATCTTTGCACACGATCCAAGAGCTCTACGTCTCCTTTAAGGAGCGAGGGTGTGACGACGTTGTAAACCTCCAGGTGTGGCGCGCATATGTATAAATAACTTTAAGGTTACAGCAACAAGCTGTTTTTGCACAAAGTGAATAGTTGCATTAACCTTGGCTGCGTCACCCTTATAGTGTGGAGGCTTTTTGTGGTTACTAGGCCGAGATCGTGTTCTGAGGAGACATCAGGGAGCGGACTTCCATTGAAGGTGTATGTGATTTACGTGATGTAGGGCACAATGTTAGACCACCATTAGAAACACGGAAGCACTGCTCGGTCGTTTCGTCCTAGTATGGAACTAATCAGCACCGCATTCACGACCCCTGTTGACGGGGGTCGAGCCAGGCCTTCGGCCTTCCACACAAACGCCTAACCTGTAGACAACTGGGCCAACGTCCAACGGCGTTAGTGTCTAACTTTGTTCAACCTAAGGATTTTGCCCAATACCTCACCCATTGTCTTCGGTAGTTACTGCATACACTCGCCAAGGTTGAACTCCCCTAGTCATGTCTTCTCGCCTCGACTTCGAGAACTTCCCCACGAAGCTGGCCACTAGCGAGTACGTTGCACGATTTTTCATGATAGAGTCATGGAGAATGTTTTTATGCATCGTAATCGTGAATCAATTTTTCCTAAGATTGTAGGAGTACAATGATCATACTAATACCAACGGTCTTCAAGCTTTTGACCTGAGAGACAAACAAAAAGAAAAATAGTGATTACAAGAACAATATATATGAAGGTGAAAAGATGGGTATGATCATTTTGTGGCTGAATAGGCTGACCGGAGTACAGAGAAAACATTTTACTTTTATGGAGAATTATGTTGCTAGGACTGAACAATATCAGCTGACGGTGTTCGTTAAAATTAACAATTTAGACATCAACACTGAATTTTAGGGAGCCATTTATTTTGAGGAGTTAGTAACATTGATACCATGCCCGGAAAAACAAGGCTGATGGAGTCTATATTACTATCCTTCTCTTCACATGGAGGCAGGATTATAAACCCTGGACGCTCAAGTAAGATCTAAAGTAGGGCATCTTGCACTTTAGTATGCATATGGTTAAAGCGCAGTCCCAGATCATTGCTTATGTTATTTGTAACGATGGTTGTAGCTCTGATTCCCAAACCTACCTGTTAGACCGGATGTCTGTACTAAGGTGAACAGACTATACGAGATATAAAAGGTCTCAATACCAGGTGTTTCACAGGGGTCCATCTTAGATATACTATTCTTCCTGACAGTAATTACTGGAACAAAACTCTCTCACCGACCACCATAATCACTATTGTTGCCAAGATATGGAGGTTCATGAAAACTGAAAAGGATCCACTCGAGCTTCGACTCGATCCCTCAACAACGGTGAAGTGGAAGGTGAATAAACAAACCCTAACTTGACAAAATATCATGTTAAGAGCATTCGTTGCCACGAAACACAAATAACTTACATCCACCATAATATTACTGTCCCACTTATTTCCGCAGAAAGCGATCTGAGAATAGTAACAACTACTTAGGTGATGCAACTCAGACAAATGCTACTATTCCGAGAGCTTGGTGCACGCAATCCAGAATTTTCGCTGACAATTAAAAATGTAGCCTTGCTGTCACAAATGTTGCAAAGATTTACACCCTTTTCTATAAACAGGACACATCTCACAGACCAAATACACTAATGAGCGACTAAGTCATAGAGAGGGAAAATTTTACAAATAAAGACTGTGTTACTTAAAGCCATTTCAGCCAGACCTAAAGTGAACAAGTAGTGATCTAAAGTTTGCACACTGAATATTAAGTATGCGAAAGCACCTTAACACAAATATCCCTCGAAAATATAGCATTCACGCCCCACAAATCAGGTGCAGGCTACCTGATTAAGGTCCGCCAGATGAAACACCGATGGTTAAAGACCTAAAAAGACATGGCTCAAAATCCTTTGCAATGGCCCAGGTGCATCCACTCTTTGTGTTGTCTCAAATTGTAACATTCTGAATTCCTCATGATCTCTATCTTTCTCTTTCTAAAGCTGTCTCACTGAACGCTGTAAATTATTTACCATTATCAATATTATATACAATAATATAAGTCTTCATTCGTTTCTTATCATCTTCGTCTATCCCTTATTCGTACTTATCACTTAATTCACACTGATGTTTTACTTATTTGCCCTTTTGCTCAGCTCTTCAGTATATTAGTTTTTCAGATCACAACCTAGCAGTCCTCTGCACAGCCATGTGATAACTCCGGCCCCCAGACACTGATTTGAAAATAACGCATCCATCATGGTTACATGACAAATACCTGTCAAAGTCAATAGAACTGGTCCAATCAATATGTTGACTACTACAAATCCAACATTATGGGATACCTAGAACCACACTGAAACAACCAGAAGCGGTTGCAGAAAAATTGGTCAGTGTTTACGAACTCGACGCAAAGACACCACATATTTGAACTTCTAAACCTAATTCTGGACCCCATTTTAAATACTACAAGTGGTTTAATTTCCACAGTCATTGAGATCGTCCATAATTTATGGTCTCTCAGTTACTGATCTATCAAAAAGCCAGTATGAAGTCCCTGAACAATAACGCGGATTAATCAAGCTTTCACTGTGTGACTGAACTATTTAAACGCTTCATCCCCTCTCGCTGGTAGACAATCGAAACAGCGAATCTGACAACACTGAAGTTGAACCACTGTGGTAGATCTACCTGTCTCAACCAACTGCGCTTACCTAGCTGTTCCAACTGCAGCATACACTCAAACATCAGCTAGTAAACACTGGGTTTCTTTCAAATGATTTATTTTCAAATAACAACGTGTTACAAGTAAGGTCAAAATGTTAGAATTGCCAGCATATTTACCATAAAAGGTTGTTCAGTAAGATAAATATTTAACAAGATACATTGGATTATTTAGTGGGCTGTTGTTCTTCGTACAAAACTGTAAGTAGTGTTTCAGATTCTGGAATGTACTGTACAATAAATGGCGCGAGTTATGTCGATTGAATCGCAACAAACCACTGATGATTGAGAATCAATACTAGTTAAATCCAGGTCTTCATATAACAAAAATTGACGAGGAAAATGTGTAACAATCTTCTTGTTGAGATTCACCAGATCATAATTTGACAGGCTTCTTAGTAAAGCAACCAACTCTTCGGCAATATCAAGGCTAATACCATGAGATTTCACCACATCCTTTAAGCGGTCAGATGGAGAGTTATAAGACCAAAAGCAACAAAATTATTGTCTGAGGACGTTGTTTTATTGTTGGCCGTAAAGAAGTGTGATTGTGAAAATTGTTTCCTTTGCGCAAACAGTATCTGCACTGAGGCTTTCATCCCACAACCGAAGGTGTGGGAACAATCTGACCCTGATAATATCACACTACACCTTGTTTCACAGACTTTCGTCACTGGCTGTAAGATCTGAAATAAACGAAACTAAATCATCCAGATGCGCAGAAAAAGTGGTCGCATACAAATGACCCTCATGAGTTTCAAAAACTTTTAATTGTTCAATTTCAATCCTCTGCCAAATTCGATACTTTCTATTGGCATGTATACACCACCAAACTGTAATTACGAACATAAATTGGTGATTAACGGCACTTCAGTTTCCAGCATGTGTTCCACAAATGCACCCTTGTTCATATAACTACCATCGGTTCTGTCAAAATTTCAGACAACTATTAGTATTGTCACATATTAAAGGTATTCTAGGTAATATTTATGCTGTTTTAGTATTATTCTAAAATCCTACCTAAGTTAATTAGTAACGAGTACGACTGAATCTCCCTGCAACTGAATCAACTAGAGTAAGCTTTACAAACACACTGGAACATTATATGGAATTAGCCTCAGTGGTTATGCTTCTGTTCCTTTCTTCATTTTTCTGGTAGACAGGTAGTAGGAAAATAAGTGAGGGCAGAAAACTAGCACAAACAGTTCCACCTTTTAAAAAAATGGTGCTAATATCAACAATCTAACACAGCAATTAATTTATTGTCATCCATCTGGGCACAAATTGTATTGTTCATATGTCAAGCTAATTAACATGAGTTATTGCTATGCATCTAACTGTGACTTGGCCAAACATTTTTTACTAAATCATTTTTCATCATCATAACCTCAATTTGTTCAGCACTCAGACAAAGGATACGTGAAGTTTCATTTCGTGCGTGTAAGGAATAAAACCAGACATTTTGTAATTATCACATGTACTTTTCGATGGGTTGATGCCACCTTCTAGAGTTATCATATAATTGACCAACGCCTAGGAGATTCTGACTGATGTCTTGGCAACCTACAGTGCATAACGACTTCAGCGGTTTCATATTTTGTCAAATTCACCTTGATTCTAGTGGATGAGTAATGAAATGACATTATTACCGAACCAGAAAATCCTTGAAGCTAAACATGCTTTAGCTGAGAAGAATTTCAGTGAACATCGAACAGTAGGAGAGGATGGGAACACTCAGTCGAGACGATGTGGCTCCGTTGTACAGCCGTGATCAATCTATTTGTAACCCATATTTGCTTTTCAGAAGTCTAATTACTGGGATAACAGAACTACCAGCAGCCAAACTAAAGGCTTCACATAAAATAAACCTATCGATCCCCACTGGAAAACCTATTAAGTCCAACATTTTACACTACCATGAGAGTGAGAAAGGAGAACCTGGCACAGGTGAAAGGTCTCTCTGACCAAAGTTCTTACTTGACACTGAGAAATAGATATCAAGCTACGAAGAGATAGGAAACACTTTCAAATGGAGCTAGCAGCAAAGATACAGACAAACCTAAAATATCAGGACCCGATAGAAAATATGAGAACTAGGATGTTTGTAATATCAATGGTTCGAATTGCAAATATCTCGCCAACCTAGAGATGGCTGAGATCTTTACAAACAACACCGATCAGTTAAACCAGGTGCCTACAAATTCAGAGTTCTACTCAATCCAAATGTCAACTGATGGCCTAGGGAATGTTTGACTTACCCCTGACTTAGTGATAAGAAAACTGAAATCCCTGAACCCAGAAAAATCACCAGCATATAACAATATTCGCCCCATAGTGTTGAAATAATAGGCATAGGCTCTCAGTTCATCTTTAAGTGACCGTTTAGGTGATCACGCTAACTCCTAGCTGAGTGGAAACAAGCTACTCTCTCTCCAGTCTTTAAAGGAGCAAATAGGAAGCATCCAGTCTGTCACAAACTAGTTACATTACTACCAATACTATCGAATGTAATGGAAAGAATGGACAACATCATCCATGAAACTCAAAACGGGTGTAGGAATGGCAGGTGATGTGCAAATAGTCTTCTCATAGCATGGGACAGTTGGACATCCTGCTTGGACCGAAAAACAACACTTGGGAATATCCTCTCTGATATGTAGGAGAATAGAAAGTAATATGCCAGTGACATACAGCATATTATGTACGCCGAATCACCCAAATATGAGCACTACCACCACGCACTCCGAGGTAACCTCCGAAAAGTTGCACATCAAACAGCAAACATTCAGGTCCCTGCACACGTTTTCGCATTAGGACTTGTTGTAACTCGGACGAAATGACCACAGCTTCCTCAGTGGATAGCTTTAAGATGAGACTTGATAAACACGTACTTACGTACGGATTGTATTCTCCTTTATCGACCAGTTGTGCATAATGCATGTCCCGAAACTTGCTACTTGTTGTTATTGTCATTCCCTCAGATCACTAACTTACTCTATCCCGCTTAATATATCTGTTTCCACTCCCTTGCCTAAATTTCTGCTCTCTCTAGAGATCTTAGTACAAAATAATTGCCAAATGATTCATCTGTTGTCCTACATACTTTGTTTCATTCTATAGAATTTACTTCACGGATATTTGACGACGATGCTTTTCAATTGATTATTCATTTGAAAAGTAAATATTGGGTTTTTTCCCCCACTTTTGGGTGCTGTTTGAGTCCTGGAGTGTTTCCAGTCATAACGGTGGGGCGATAACCTCAATCTACCCATGTCTGTGTGGCAGAACATTTTGTTTGCTTATGGCTCCTTACGATATAGCAGGATGTAACAAATCAGTGATATTGATGTTACTTTTCCTTGTTAACCTCGTCTACAACCCATGTCTGTAACCTTGTACTGGTTTTTACTTCCTACCGAGAAATCCTATTACAAGCTGGTCTGGACAACTACACTAAAAAAGAGCTCACTCATAACTTCTTGAGCCTCAGAGTTAAAAATAAAAAGAATAAATAAAACCAAAAAATTATATCACTGATCCTCTTTATTATATTTTGTAAATCAACTTTATTACTAACAACTTGGTTCTTCTGAATTTCCTCGATTCTTTCGACTAACTTCTCATTAGTTATCTCACTACTGAACTGTCTTCATTAACCTACATAAGTGCAGGTGTAAAGTGTTCTGATATTTAAAATGTTTGGGTAAACACACCTTTGTTTTATCCATAAACGTATATGCAAAGCCATTGTTCGGCTTTGAGCATGAATATTTTCTGTTCTGCTCCTCGTCCCGTTTTCTTTATTCCTCTTTTTTCAGAACCTTATTCCAATCCACATATATTATTCTGGATATTTGCAGTAGACTTGGTTACCCTACCCAAGAACATGTGAAATCATTAGCTGATGAAAATCAACCAGACCTTTGTACATTTGCCGCATCAATTCTTGTTATATGAAAACCTATCTCTACCATGAATCGTTTCTCAGTCCATAAGATGATTGTCGTAACGCAACCTACGTAACTTGCACCAATAACTCGCTTTGTACATTCCATCTTTAAGAAAACAATGAATGTTGTGAAATGTTTCAGTAACTGTATACCGTCTTAAAAAAAAATATGTTGCTAATCTTAACATTTTGATCTTGCCTGTAAATTGGCATGTCTCTTGTAACATGTTTGTTATTTGAGAATAAATTATTATTATTATTATTAATTAAGGTCCTTAACCAGTTGTTGCTGTTTTGTTAGGAATCTTCATATGTATGGGTGAGCTTCAATTATACCAGCGTCTTTAGTCTTCTTGCTTTCTAAGACGATACAATTTTGGCAGATCAGCTTTTGTTAGGAATTTCACACGTCTTGTTCTGCTACGCTCATTTCTCCATTATGACGTTTCTTTTGGCGTTCAGCTTACGGGGCTCATTCACTTTCAGGTCGGTGTTCGGTTAAAAAGGTTTGCAAATGAACTAGTTTTCTGGTTGTTGTTGCTGTTGCTACTGAAGTAGTTCCAGCAACCCTATGAGGCAAGGCACAGTTATTCATATTTATCTTAACAGTTATACCAAGGAGGCATTCTTTTCATATACATTATGTAGACCATTATAACCATAACCATAATTGAGCGATCATGAAGCTGCAGATGTGTGAGTTGGCATTTCCATATGTTTATTAAAGAAGAATCAGTTTCCAATGTCCGAAAAGTAGTGAAATATGCAAGATACGTGGTGAAAACCGATTCAACCAGTAGCTGAATCTGAAAATATTATGCACTTGAAAAAATAAAATTTACTAAACATTTTAGTCATTGCAAAAAGTAGTCACGTAAAACCATAGAACTCTTTCAAGAGCAAGTGGTAATGATAAGCTAACAGATCAATATGTGAAAAGCAATATGCAGATCAAATACTTTCTAATTGAAATATTTTGTTTTATGGGACTACACTATCATTTTAACTTTTTCAAGGACTTTAAACAACAAATAGATATACAGCTTGAAGGTCATTCTGATAGTGATTGGTTCAGATTAAGGAGTTAGTGCGCGTTCTTACCAGTGGGGAGTGTATAGTTCTTCCAGTTTATAAACATTCAAAGTGGTCTCATGTTGGCATAATACATTCGCAACGTCTCATGTCTGGGCCAGGAAATTTGAATGATGAGCCGATTCTTGACTCGAAAGTCAAGTACAATATCGGCGAACCTTCTCAGGATGAAATTGAAGGTATAGTTATAGTAAAGTTCTATACGGTTATATTACGCTTATAGTATATACTCAAATTTCAGCACCACATAACTATGATTCTTTTATTCTTTTGGTCGATATTCTTACCTAATTAGTCACGTCACATAAAAGTGCACTTACTCTTATAGCACTAGCTTTGATGACTAGTCGTTTAAATCGTTCGATAACTGTATCGATCGTTTTCATGTTTGTAATAATTCGAAGACACTATCGACTACTGCATATTTGAGTGTGTGTGTGCATGCTTGCTCGCTTATTACATGTCTAACCAATAATTGTCTGATATAAATACTTAGTCATGCTCCATCGCATGGAGTTGGCTCACTCGACTTCTCTAATTTGCTTCGATTGGCTTGTACGCTCTTCTTTCTCATATCTGTCCACTTAAATGAACTTATGAAATAAATTTATCCGCAAAACCGTATTTGGCTTCTTGTTATCGCCGTCGTACAAAGTGGGTTTACCTAAGTATGATATACAAAAATGGAAAGACAGGTTTATTTCATCTTATGTTACATCATTTGTCCAAATTTGGCGTATCTAAGAACTATGTTTTTATTCCGAACGTAATCATAAGAATTTAATTGCAGCCAAAATGTGTTCAGGTCGTCTCCTTGTCGAAATCGTCAGAATATTATTTTATATCTCCATCCAATTTTACTTGTGCTTGAGTTTCAGCCTTTCTATTAGGGGCCTTCGAAGAGAGCATGTCACGTTTTATTGACATTTCAACGCCCACAACTCTGAGTTCCTGTCGTAAGAAGCCATAATTTGTTTTTTTTATGTATCCCCTGTAAGATCCAGTGCGTAATTGTAAGTGCCATTTTGTAAAGTACTTTTTCCGTGATCACTGCTTGCCGTGATAGTAGTTGTATTGAAAATCTTTCATTTTGTAATCTCAGATTTCATATGTAACATCAGGTAATCAGTCATCTAACTCCATCCACTTTTCCACAATTAATATAGACATCTTATTTAAAAAATAGTTAGAAAATTCGTCTGTTAGGCTTTCATTGTTACAAAGTCCGATTCATTTATTCAAATTCTATTCTAAGTGATGGTCTTAGATTACATTTGATCACTCTATTTTGGTACTTGTGCATCCTTTGAAGATTATCTCGATATTAGCACAAGCATTTAATTGTATTCAAAGATGGGTAGTGGCTAGCAATGGGGATCGGGATGCGCGTTTCGTTCTACTTTTATTCGTCAGCCGGATCTACCTGCATTCAGGAGTTGACGTCCAATCTGTCACTTGGACCCAGTACCATTTGTTTCAAGTGTTATTGCTTTATCTACTTAGCTGCTAGGCCATGATAGCCACTATACATGTACTCTGAACTAAATACTCAACTATCTAGATGTGATTCAAAAAAGTAACACAACATTCTGACGTAGATCGCCATGCATATTCTTTAGTGGTATGGTCAGTATGTGAAGCTGAAAGCTTTGAATAAAGTCACTTCTCAATCGCTCACATTCGTTCTCTATTTTCTATCTTGTGAATTGGTTATTCTTGAATCATAAAATCTATGCCTAGTATTTTCTACTGCCATCAATAATTCTACTGCCTTTACTCTTGGCTTTTTTTTCTAATTTCATCTATGTGATCTGGTGTGAAAACCTTAATCGATTCATACATATTCTTATAACTGAGTGAATATGTCTACTGTCCGAACATTTTTGTGTGAAATGTAAAACATTTAGAGTTTGAAAGGTAAACTTAGTACCATGCAACTCTTCTACAATAAGTCGCTGCACTGTTTTTGGATTATCCAACTTGTTTATCTGAGTTTATTTTATAAATTTTTCCATAAATTGAAGGCCTGTTTTCTTGTTTGTCTTTCAGATCATCGGTCAAAGCTGTCTATGATAGCTGGGTTATCCGTAAACAATGATATAGCTACGCTTAGCACGTCACAGTTTCCCCAAGGAATCGCATCAGGACCTTCAGCTCATCGTCACCGTCGGCGACGTAAACGCTTTGGGGCAAATGTTACGAGGGAAGAAGGCTCTAAAGCATATCGTAAGTTTTTATTGCTTTAACTTAGTTTTAAAAGTTGAGGGATGATATATCTAGCAAATATATTTACTGATTTAAGACAGAACCAGTGGCTTTGTGCCTAGGTACTTAAATTGTTACATTTTTCTTGTACTCTTTACCTAATAGTTATATACCTTACCCATTTTATGATTAAAATTATCTAGGTTATATGTAAAATACCAACACTTCCAAAATAAAGCAGTAGTCGACTGCATTAAGACATTTCAGCGTATGCTTTGTTACTTCTAGCTTTTTCTTAACTAAACTGATTTTCTGGTTGTATATTTTCAAAATTCTTTTACATTTGGTCAACTGTCAGTGTATCATGAACATTTGAACTAAACATATATGTTCATAATTTTGTTCCACTTCAACTAATCTCACATGAAGTTATTCTGTTTAAATACAGAGGCGATATTGTTGTAAAGAACAAAATTCTCGAATCTCGAAACAGTATTTATTTCGTATGAAAGTTTTCCATATGTTAAATATTAGCAAAAACAAACAAAACAGACCCACAGGTATTGTAAAATCTATGACAAAAGACTATATGCCTTTGCTGAGAGTTCATCATCAACTGGTCCATTAAGGGCAAATGCAATCTCTTAGACTGAATAACAACAAAAACTGGTAATATCGTGTATTTAACAAAATTTGTTCATGTTATCTACAGACCTCTTTGAGTCAGTGTATTCCATTATACGACTCTGTATTTTTGATAGATAGACAATTTTTGAACAAATAACCAGTCTCTAGAATCGTGAATTAAGATAAGTTCCGTGGCATACTTTGATGACATAGCTGAACAGAATTATCAAGCTATCAACTCATAAGATTCTGTGATTTTGATCTTATATACTTTAGATGTGATTTAATTGTTGATACTTTTACTTCATAATTGGATACAGACAAGGTAGATTTATGAGTTTGACTTTCATCCTATAGTTCAATAAATGATCTATGTAATGTCTGATTTTTAGAATACATCCAATAGTAAGCTCCTGAATAATATTTTCTGTGGTATTTTTTGAAACATGTCTTGCTTTCTTCAGTTTACTGCTCCTTAGCTTCAACTGGATATTTAAAGTTTATAGGTTTTGTATTATTACACTAAAATATGATAACTAGCTGACTTCAGTGCTAACTTGCTTGACTGTGGCGCTGAAAATCTGAAAAACATCAACAAATTTTGAGGTTGTTATATTTACTTATCAATAACTTTCAAAAAGTTCAAATGATCCTAGTTACATTCCTTCTAAAATCTTCTGTCAGTCTAATAAATATATATTCTATTGTATATATATCATAACGACTTTCTTATCAATGTTCGTATCAGCTAATAGCTTTTGTGTTTACTCTTCTTTCTTTTTTTTACAGCCACAAATCCAAGTGAACATGTAATGTTTTTACTTGGTGAATGTGATGGAGATGATGAGCAAACACATCAATTATTCTGTGAATTAGATGAACTATGGAATGATCCATCCGGATCAGGGGAAACCGAATGGCGAGAAGCTGCAAGGTCAGCTGATTCTCATTGCTATTATTTTTCACACACTTTTAATTTATATTTATTTGCAGAGTTCTATTTCAAAAGAGCTTTTATGCAAAACAAAATTGTGCTTCCATGTTCTCAACTAAGATTAGTATGTAATATGAAACCCCCAGAATCAACCATCTCCATAACATCAAATATACTTACTAACGACTGACTTTGAGCGATGATTCCCAGAGTTCTAGTGAGAAGTTGTGAGACCATAATGTTGAACCATATCGAGTGTTAGATAAATACTAAAAATAATTAATGGTGATGGCCGCACAGTATTACGAATTGACGAACGTTAGGAATGTAAATAATTGAATACCAACTCGATAATCCAATAATTAAGTGCTCTTTGTAAAGCTTGGATATCCGGAGTTTTGTCAGTGCTGTGATTGTGAATGGGCGCTATGGACAAACAGGACGAAACTCAAATCCATAAATTCTATATTCTATGTGTTCTGTATAAACTTGTATCATAATGGTTATATCAAGTCAGTGTCCATAGTCAAACCAAGACTGATCGAATTGATAGCAATCGGTAATAAGGTCAAATATCATAAGATTTAGTTTTCTCTTTTGAAAGTTAACATATCACTTTGTTTTCCAATAGTTGTATGTCCTTATTTTGAATATTTTTGTAAGAATCCACTATTTTATTTTGATATGCCTTTCTTACTCATTACAACAGATGGATTAAATTTGAAGAGGATGTTGAAGAAAACGGAGAACGTTGGTCTAAACCACACGTAGCTACACTGTCCTTATTCTCTGTATTTGAACTACGCAGTTGTCTAGCGAATGGAGTAATTATGTTGAATTTGGAAAGTTATACCATGGAACAAATTGCAGGTAATCTCACATATACATATATATATATACCTCTGATCTATATTTTTACGCTACATTTAAAGTCTCTTTCTTTGCATTTATGAAGTTTTCAATCTGTCTGAATTAAAAGTCTTAAGATAATTATGATTTATCCTGTAAAATGTGTACGAAATCTACAAAATATTCAATAAATCAGTCATTTTAATTACATATTCATAGTTTAAATCACTGATTGATCCTAGCTAGACTTTCATCCGTCTTAGTATGGAACTTCTCTGCAGTGCTCATCCACAACCCCACGCTTAGGAGTTGAACGAAGGAACTTCGATCTCATGTTTAGAACCATTCAGCTGGCATCCATTCTTGTACATGTCTAATTTCAATCAATTCAAAATAGAGAACAAGCATCATTCACTGTCTAAAGTTGATTACCGTCTCACACTCGAGTGCTTGAGCTCTGGTGACTATAACCCCTCACTGCTGCTAAGCAGTGTCATACTTCGACGAAACGGCGGTCAAACCAAAAAAGTGGCACAAGTCCCTGATGTCAATGACAAGTGGACTGAATCATGTTGATAAGTTTCGACTACCTGGTTGGGGCCTGCGAGATGATAGCAGTCGGTTGTAAGAGATATGTCTTAGAATCGTTTTCAATGGTCCAGGTTCATCCACTCTTTGTGTTCTCTGAAATCCTAATCTTCTAAATGCCTCATCACCTCTATCTTTCTCTGTCTAAAATTATTTCACTGAATTAGGCTTCTTGAATAATATCTTCGAACGCTAATCTTCTCCTTTACCGCTAATACTTCTACTATCTCTACTACCACTATGAGATTTGAAATGACAGTCGCGTCTCTGTGCTAATGTGGTATGGCAACCTGAACTTATTCACGTACGTACGATGTTCCACATTGTAACTGACTGACTCCATATTTCTAATGATAGTCTAGCTAAGATCAATTTGCGGTCTCAACTATCAAAAACAAAATCTAATCTCCACAAATCCCCTTTTATTATAATGTTTTTATCCTAAGTGAAATCAATAAAAATACTTCATCTCGTATGTATTTTATTCATTTCTTTTTAACTACCTTGTCTATAGTTCGGTTATTTTTTCCCCAATACCATTCATACATTCGTTCTACTATTATCGCAACTTCTTAGATTTTCATCTCAATTAATTAATTTCTTCGATTATAATATAATATCACAACTCCAATTAAATATTCATTGATATTAGATTCCATTTCATGCTTATATATAAAATTAATTCAATAATTTATCAACTAACTAACTTGATTAAAATTGTTTACATTACAAATAAATTTTTAATTGGAAAGATAAAACAATGAAAATAAAATATCTATCACTAAAAATGATCAACATACATATATATATATATCTTAAATAGAAAGGAATATAACTAATTCAATCATTCTTAGTTATTAATAATTATTATAAACAATTTATCCACTCACTGTTCAATTTCCAATAACTGGACTTATTAACTGTTACTAATATTAAAATCGATTGACCATTTAACATTTATTATATCAAGTTATTTTACTTAGGAATTTTGATTTTGGCCTACTAAATCAGTGAAACTTCGAATGACAGATTATTATTTGTGTAAAAAAAGCCCCCATCTTTATATATCTACATATGAATGCTTGGTAATGTAGGCTTGAAAAAACAAACGTATATAGTACACATTTTGTAAAATGTATTTTCCATGTTTTTGTATTGATAAGGTCATTTTTATTTCAGTCATAATAATAATAATAATAATAATAAAATAGGAACTATTGATCGAAATACAATTTACAGATCTAACTACTATGATTAATTATTGTAAACAAATCAATAGATCTACGACATTTTCAGTTAATTTGTTTTATTGTACAACGTGAAGTGAATTTCAGTCTTTATTGTGTTTTAAGAAAAAAAAACAATTCTGGTAACATAACACACTACACAACAATAATATTACAATTCGTTTCATTCAACAATATGATTTCCAATTGTTAAGATATAATTGATAGGAAAAATGAAGTGTTGTGAATAATAATTGGTTTTGTTTTCATTTTACAAAAATTTTTGTGAACATTTTCAAAACTAAACTGTGGTAAGTATAGATTTACAGTTAGTTGATGAGCTATAAATAGAGGTGTTAAAACATTTTCTAAGTTTCACTACTCTATCAACAGTCTAGCTTGTTAATTTAATTGATTCTGAATTACAGCTTGGTACTTTTAGTCTTTATGTTCCGTCTTTTCTTGATGGGTTAATCAAATTGATTGCATAATTTTTCTCTATAAAAGTTAATCTATGGCATAATTATTGATACAATTGGAGGACCTAAATATTTATGCGCCACACAAATCAATACATTTGTTTAAGGGCTGAGATACTGCCGGAGTTACCAAACTCAAGTAGATAGTTTTCTTATGGGGCCACTCCTCAAATGCCTAGTACAATCCACATGTTAGTGAAGCAGCATCACTAAATTCAGTCTCATAGTAGCCGGTGACCAACAATATGTTCATACACCTTTCATTCCAACGTGATCCCTAAGTCCATTTGTATTATTGGTTTAGAATTATGGTTTTTTAACTCCTATAGGTATATTCTCTGTACCCACCAACCTGAGTTAAGCGCCACATATACACTTTTCGTCTTTTCAATTTTGTGAGCAACAGTCCCGCTACGAGAAGGCAATGAGTAGGAATGTTACTCATGGCTAAATGAGCGCATTTCGAGAGAGAGAGAGATAGAGAGAGCAAACTCTTTCTACTTTCAGCTGTACCAAGGCATTTTCTGGCACGTTCAGAATGACTGTTGTCATCACGGTGAACAACACTGAACAAAATGTTTGATTCAATATACGAAGCTAAACACTCTAGGGTTGCATTACCAACCACGAATTAAATCTCCTTAAAAATGCTTGTAATTTAATATAAATATCGAAGGGATCCGTTCAGTATACATACAGGCCGAAAACATGGAATTAATCAATTGGATTTGAAGATCAAACTAGTTTTTGATAGTTTTGTGATTTCCATCATAAATTTTTCAACAAACGTATTAGTTTAGTCCTTCAGCACTAGTCGAATTCTGTTAATTAAGCTTCGAAACGATCACTAGGCTATATGAATTTGATATTGCTTATACTATGTTTTAATGTTGAGTGGTTACAGAAGTAGCCAGTGCGAAACTGTGTATTGACTTGGGTTTTGTATTAATTAACACTAGTTAATAAGGCTTATCTGCAATGCTTGAGAGGACTGATGGATAGTGTGGAATCAAAACCCATGCCAACTACATTGTAACGTGATCAACGATACCCGATCAACACTAAAGGACTAAAAAGATATAATATTGGTCGCTATTCAGTCGATCGATTGTCAATATCTTGATCATATCAGAATTTAGCTCCAACCCAAACAGTAGCTTAGTAATAACATCTCAACTGTAAAGCTATATTATCTGTGTTCTATAGTCCCACGAGAAACATCTCTTCTGTCAAGACTGCTGGCACACCATACTTATATGTACCAACTAGCTTAACACATGGTCGTAGGTTTTCTCATTGACTCCTTTCAACCACCAAACATATATGTAAAACATTTGTAAAGGCTTAGTTCAGAAGAAAATATTAACAGTCAATAGCGTGTAAAGTATTACTTAAAATTGTCATATAAACAGTGTTGTAAGTGATAACAACACAAAAGTTTTTCAGACTTTACCGAATGAGGAGGAATGGATATAGAAATCGTTAAATAAAATCTAAGAATACACTGTATGACCAATGTAAATCATTGTACATTTATCTGATCAATTATATTTTTAGTTTAGAGATTATAACCTTGCATATAGTTTCATAGGTGTGCACGTTTGCATACAACTTTCTAGTCGTGTAATACGTTAGGATAATTTTCTATATGGCGTGTTATGACTACTGTACTATTATTGTTATTATTATCATGGTTATTTGTCACTTAATAAATCATGTTTTCTAGTTTATGTAAACGATTAAGCATATTAAAGTACCAGTTAGAATACCACGTAAATTGTATTTAATTGTACTTAAATAAACTGATATGAAGCTCTAATTTTAAATTTTCATTAACTCATATATTTAAAAAAGACTTGATGATAAATGAAATGACTAAATCTGCACTAAAATAAGTTATGATTAGATAATCAGTAAAATATGATGTGACATTGATAATAAAATATCATATAAACACTGATATACCAGTTTTTCATTTTGTAATGATAACAGAAAACTATGTGCAGTGGGCTGACTTTTATTATCTACATAGAGCAGATATCTCAACATGTGTGAGAACTACATGGGCAACACTCTATTCTCAATACCAGGATCAATCTTAAACAGTGTTGTTAGACCGAATGATAAAGTTCGTAGACGCCTAACTACAAGATCAGCAAGCTTGATTCAGTAAGGATCAATCGTGTACCGACTGAATCTCAGCATTACAAATCATTGTTGATCAATCAATTAAATGAAATTCATCACTGTACATTAACTTCATTGACTATGAGAAAGCATTTGATAGAGTGGACAGGATTACACTATGAAGACTTCTTCGAAACTACAGTGTGACTGAGAAGATAGTCGACATCATACGAAATTCTTAAGATGGAATACATAGTTAAACGTGTACACAGGACAGCTAATAGACTCGTTCCAAAGTGAAGACCGATATCAAACAAAGTTGCTTGATCTCACGCTTTCTCTTTCTTCTGTTGATCGATTGAATTACGAAGACGTCAATATCTCAGGTGCAGCACGGAATATAACGAACAAGTCGGATGCAGCTGGATGATCTAGACTTCTCAGATGATCTAGCTCATCTATTCATACACACAACAATAAATACGGGTGAAGACGGTCAGTGTAGCGATAGCCTCTGCAGCAGTAGCTTTCAACACACACCATGGAAAAAACAAGATCTTCCGATACAATACAACATGCACCAACCAAATCTCACTAAACAGAGAAGCATTGGAGGATGTAGAAACCTTTACATATCTGAACAGCGTCATTGAAAAACAAGGTAGGTCTAATACAGATGTGAAGGCGTAGGTCGGCAGAGCAAGTGCAGCATTTCTACAATTGAAGAACGTTTGGAACTCGAAACAATTGCTAACCAATACTAAAGTCAGAATTTTCAGTTGAAACGTCAGAACTGTCCCATTTTATGGAGCTGAAACCGAAGAACCTCAGAAGCCATCATCCAGAAAATACAAGCGTCTGTTAACAATTATCCTCTCAGTATACTGTGAATCCGTTTGCAGGATACCGGCAGCAGCAGCAGATTTCTGTGGGAGAGAATAAGCAGATTCCAGCTGATGAAGAAACTAAAGGTGAAAGCTGGCTGTGGATAGGACACGTTGCGGAAAGCACCCAACTGTATCACGAAGCAAGCCCTAACTTGGAATCCTTAAGGTTAAGGAAAAAGAGGTGGACTTAAGAACATACTACACGGAGAATCGGATGCAGACATCAAAAGAATGGACGGTGATTGGGTAGAACGTGAAACAAAGGCCCAAGACAGAATAGATTGGATATAATGCTGTTTGGCGTCCTATACTACATTATAGGTAGCAGAACAATGTAAGTAACTAAGTAACGTATGGAAGATCAAGGCCAACTTATTAGTTTTGATTAAATAATTAACTTACACAAAGAACTATTATAAAACTCGAAATATATTTATATTTATATATACGTTACTAATTAGTTGTTTACAATATAACTTTACATGTTTCATGTTGTCATGTGAATTCACGATCGATTGACTTTAAGACTTGATTTTAAAAACAATTGAATTGATGAGATACACTAGTGTTTACCTACTACACATACAATAATAAATAGGTTTATATATAAAGCTCAATGTTTATCGTAGGCTAGCTAATTTGTACTACGTTGTTTTGTTTGTAATAATTTATATATATATTTTTTTGGCAAAAAATTAGTAATCATAAAGTCATCACATATAATCCCTATGTTTTCTATACTCATTTAAACTGTGATTTATTTATTTAATTATTTCGCAAAAAACTCTTACACTTCATTGTTTATTTTACTTCCTTTTTTTTCTTCTTTTCTAGATTTAGTTTTAAATTTATTAATATCAGAAGAACGTTTACCGTTAGATCAAAGAGATCTTTTATTCAATGTACTATTACGTCGTCATGTTCATTTACATGATAGACTTCGACCAAAACTTATCGGTCGAAGTACTACAAATCTTCCATTAATTCGATCATTAGCAGATATTGGTAAAAGACATTCAGCAAAAGATGTGGAAAAAGGTAATAAATATCATGAAATTATTTAATTATTTTTTTTTTAGAAAAATATGATTTTATTTATTTATTTTTTTTGAATCTTCTTTTTCTTTTTTTTTCATTTGCTATTAATTAATTCTTTTTCATATAAGCTTGATTTTTTCTCTCTCTCGATGATTAATGTATTTGGCAAGATTTTCAATTAAAACTAATCAGTCAAATATTCATTCTATTCAGACTATTAGAGATTTTAGTGTTCCTAATAAAAATTACTCATTTGAAAGTGAGAACTTCGTTCTATGTGAACGTGATAGTAGTAAAAGATTAAACTCTTAGGAATATTAATAGATGGCTAAATAATAATAATAATAATAATAATAATAATAATAATAATAATAATAATCTGTCACTGGTTCACGAAATTATTGATTTCTTGCTAAGGAATGTAAACTTTCTAATTAGAATGAATATACGTGATAATGTCAGTTACCTTTTTTATTAGACTTGCCATTGTTTACCCTCTGGTAAACTTTCTTCACTTTTTTTTACTCCTGTTACATGAATTCACTTATTTTATTGAAAATAATTATTCATAAGAAGAAATAATGTCAACTTGAACTGACATACATTTTGTGTCACATTGTTTTCGACTGAATAATCAAAAAAAATTAGAGTATTATTGATGCAATGCTTAAACTTTATAATTATAATTTGTATGTGATAAATTTCCCATAATTCATTCATTGTCGTTTTGTGTAACAAAAGGGAATACTTTTTCTATTGTATATCGTAATTTTGATACATAGTTCCAGGTCTAAATCACAAACTGACTTTTAAGAAAACCAAATAAGTACTGGATAGAATTTTTCGTTCGAATATATAATGTTCATTTGCAATGTAGATCCATGATCCTACAGGAGATTGAAACCGGGACCTTGAGGTTTCTTTTATTCAGTGGTTCAGATTTCTAGCTTGATCCACTGCACAATATTTCACAACCCGCTTATGATCCCATCAATAGGTGGTAACACGTGCAGAAAAGTTCCATGATAGGCCGAAAGATTTGTTTTATACACTGAGCTGTAAGCACCGTCAGTTTTATCTTTGCTATTTAACCTTTACTGACCATTTGGAATAGAGTTAATTAGGGGTAAGCTGTAGACCTGTACTTCAGTAGTCGAAACACCCATTGATTTAATTATTACTACAATATTAATTATAGTAACTATCATTATTATTGTCATTATTATTATTATTATTATTATTATTATTATTATTATTATTACTACTACTACTACAGATTCACATTGAGATCGTGAGTCAACCGTTGTTAGATCACCATTAGAAACCTCAGAATACTGCACGGTCGTTTCGTCTCAGTATGGGACTCCTAAGCAGTGCGCTTACACAACCCTCACTCTCGGGAATCCCGGCTACGAACGCTTAACCACTAGATCAAGATTTCAATGTAAAATCATAAAATGTGCTCACTAATAACTAGTTCTGAGAGGAAATTCTCAGAGTCCTAGTGAAAAGCCGTGACTGATGGAGTTCAACCCTGATCACTTTAGGCAATAAATACCGAAAACAAGGGGTGAGGTTACCCTAAATCTTTAGATTGATCAAAGGTAGACATTAACACCGTTGGATTCCGGCACTGTGGACTAAAAGTTAAATCATTCGAGTGTGAGGCCGAAGGTCATGGTTTGATTCCCACCAATCGGAGTCATGGATACGCGCCACTGAAGAGTCCCATATTAGGACGAAACAGCCGTGTAGTGCTTCCAGGTTTCTAATGGTGGCCTGATAATGACCGATTCACGATTATCATATAAAACAACAATCTTCATATCTGTATAATGAAAAATACTGGAGATTCCCTAATTTACTGGAAAATTATTTTAATTAAATATGTGTATGATACCGTACTTTGTCTAATATAATAATAGTTGAAAAAGCGTTTGTCTCATTATGATTGAGTAAACAATTTTACTGAACAGAAAAAAAAAAGACAATCATTTATTATAATTCAGTAGGTATGAACTTCAAAAGCACACACATACATATTTAGTCAACCAATCTTACCAATTAATGACTAACAATTAGACTGATTTAATTCATTCGTTTATTTGATAAAGGAAATAGTATTTGATCTTTAAGGGAAAACTATTCAAAACGTTTTCTCTTGAAAATTAAACCTTTAAGTCAAAGAAATAAGTTCAATAAGCAGTGGAATCAGAAAAAGGGGTGGGATAATTTTATATTTGGTAACTAGAAACTGGTAAACTAATATATTTCGTCTTTAGTTTAGTTTGTTATAATATTGCCTGGGTATGTAAACTTTGGTAGATGGTTTTCTTAAAAGCTTCTTCCTGATTCACAAAACAGAGTGGCCTGGAGTAAAGAAATACAACGTCATTTGAAATATTATTATTTTCGGAATAATAAAATTTTTCAGCTCTCCCGTTGAGATTCTTTCTTTGTTCGATCGTCTATATTTTTTTGAAATAGGGAGAATGAATTCTCTTCATGTTTTTTTTTAAAACATGATGATTATGTATGACATTTGTGTAAGCTAGTTGTGTTATCATCTTGACAGTTATACTTTCGTAATGCAGGTAGTAGACTTTTTCATGGAATCAATCAAAGCCCTTTGATAATTATTTGAATTCAATTTTTGTTTTTCTTTTTTCATTTCTTCATCATTATCATCATTTCCTACTAATCAATTATTTATTGATTCTTTGTATTTCATCTATCTATATATATATATATATATATATATATACATATATATATATATATATATATATATATATATATATATATATATATATATATATATATATATATATATATAGCTATATACTTGACGCGAAATCAATAACGTGTAAGAAAAAATGGTTGTTTTTTCAATGATGCAGTAATTTTTTCTTATTATTCTTTTGCCAAAAAATTAACTTCCATTTTGTACTTCGTTAAAGTGCACAGCATGAAAGTGTGTTCATTCTTGAATTTTGCTTGTCTTTTTCTTGGTTTGTTATTGTTGTAAGTGTTTTGGTTGATTGCAAAAATAACTTGATGAACACAGATTGATAAAAAACACAGATAGATAGATAGATAGATGTACACATACAAAAGGGAAAAAAATGTTGAAAAATAAAAGGATAAATGATAGATTTCAATGTTCAATTCCACTTTCATTTTGTTTCTCTTTTTTGATTTTAGTTTAAAAAGGAAAACAAAAAAATTTTTTCAATATTTTCTAATTTTGTTCTAATAAATTTTTGTTAAAATCTAAATAAAAGTAAATTTAATTGTTCTAGATTTTGTACATTTTAAAAGTTTATATTATTTATGATTTGAGATTGTTTTTCAAGAAATGGGAGGAGGTGAAGTTAGTTGTGGATTTAACAAAAAAATGTTAAAACTTGTTAAGTTTCATTAAAATCATGAACTGATCAACGTAAGACAAACATTCAAGACTTGAAAGCGTTGGACAACCATTTCATCCTAGTATAGAACTTATAGACAATTTGCATCCACAACTCCACAAGCGGAAGAACTTCGATCTTGCCTAACCTTTAGACCATTTATACGATACCCAATGATGTAAATGATTAGCTTCAATCAATCCACTATATTGCACGACTATCTGACATTGCCTTCGATGGGTAACTGCCTTAAACATAATCCTGTTAATTTGTAGTGAATTTCAGTGTGCAGTATATTATACCTTGATTGTTGATATTGCTCCAATTTTACGCATCCACGACTCTCGCTTAGTGATCCAGAAGTCCAAAGGTCCCTGGTTCGATTCCTGCGAGTAGCGAAAGTCGTGTATGTGCGCACTTCTGATGAGTCCCATACCAGAATGAAACGGTAGTTCAATACCTCCAAGTTTCCAATGGTGGTCTAACAATGATCTATTCAGGATTTCAAAGTAACTCAACAATCTCCACATTTCAAAGTTTTTTTTCATCATTTCTTCTTTTCTGATAAACATATTTATAAGTAAAATGGTTTAATTTATTTTCTATTACAGTACTTCCATAGTTTTGGTATTGCTTTTTAATTCATTGCCACCAATTAAGTTTCAAATATTTCTTAAACTTTCTTTTGAATTACCGATAAAAAAAATTTAATAAATTGTTTTCTTAAGACATTGATCTCACACTTTGGGATACCACTGATAATATAGATACCTCATCCTCTTACAAGCCTTATTATTAGTTTAATACCCACCCATCCAGTGACATCTCGTCAAGATCTTTTAGGTGACATCTTAACAATCCGATAAAAAAAAACAATTTAGTATCACATAATGAAAAAACACACCTTTGATGATCGTTACTCTTGGAATTAGGATGAATGTAGTTGCAAACACCTAATTCCTGTTTATCATTTTGAAGAGAGCAACAAAAAAGATGTGATCAGAATAAGATGACTTCATTTTATTTATTTGTTTTCACTTGTATTTACTTACTTTTTACTCTTAAACTTATTACCTTCGCCTTGTTTTCCCTTTAAAAAGTGAACAATAGTCTTTGGTTTTTTTTTGTCTATGGATTTTTAGCTCTAATTACTTCAAAAACTATTACATAACATCGTGTATTGACCTCTTTTTAAGCAATACTTGAAGAAAATTAATCACATTGAATTACCACACTGCCCATTTAAAATTTATGATAATTATTAGATCCAATACTTTTGTAACTTTTTGACAATGTTGACTACATTGCACAACGCCACTTCATTTTGATTATCCTACACTTGAATAAGTCTGACTGTCGTCGATAATTTTGTACAAAACTCCTTTATATTACTATAGACTGATCCACATGAAAGATTACTTATTGTACAACTCTAGAAAATGATATCGCCGAAATGAAAATTTCCTTGGTTGCTATTAAATCTCTTTTTTTAACGAATCTGTAGGCTGTTTTAGTATTTGCGTTTAATTTCGTCTCATCCTCGTCAGTTGCTTACAACCTGTAATATTTAAAATCAAATTAATAGGCAACGAATGAGAACTAAACGAAATTAAGTGAATTCATATTATTCTGCTCAAATCTTTGTTCTCGCTATCTTTAAGAGGCATGTGACTGACGGTGTTCAATGCTGATTTTGTTTGTTGAAAATATCCGAAGTCAGTGATCGACAAATCAAGACAATCGAATGTTTATCTACAAATAGTTCATTTGTTTAAGCTAAAACAAATTGCTAACTGAACCAATGTATTGAAAAATATCATAGATTTAGGTTGAAAGATAATAAGCGATTGTCGAATTGGTTACTTTACTTACCTACTTACACCTCTTACCCCCCACGTGAAGCATAGGCAACTGACTAGCATTTTTACATGTGTACGAATATTTCATGTACCTAAGTCAATGGTTTCTCTAGTTGTTCGAAGGGGCATCAGCCTTGTGCCTTCCGACAGAACTCGGCTTTCATCGTGAGCTACTATGATAACGCTTCTAAATGAAGACGTTACAACTCCCATGGTAGAGTTTAAACGGTTTAAATTATTTTTTCTAGTTAGCGTTTTTTTGGCGAGTTACGTGATGGAGTTGTTAACCCCATGCCCAACCAACCGGCATTACCGAATGAAGACATTTATTATTTTAATTGTTAGCCCATAGAATCATCAAATATCTCTCATCTGAGTAGTAGTTTATTTATATATGAACTTCCTAATCAGTTTTTGATTGATAATCAATATTATCAACAAATAACAGAAGGTAGACGTAAGATAATTTGAAATCAGTTATATTGTGACATACAAGTAATACCACTATTCTATTTTCTGTTTGATTTTTATCATTACCGATGTTATATTAGTGTTTTGATTACATTTCAATTTGTATCTTCGCATTTTCTCTTCACAATAATCTAGTCCAAGTTTGGATTATTTTGAATGGTTAAAGACTGTCAGCACAAAATCCTAGAGATAATCTATAACACTTAGTCAACAGTGAAATACTAGACAAATATGAGATTGACCATGACTTACTGATCAGATAATATAAGTATCTCAGTATTACAAAAGATGAGTTGCACGTCGAATGGTATCTCAGTAGTGATATCTTAGACCGTAAAACTGTGTATTACAATCCCATAACGGATGTCACTATCGTCATGATTTCAGCTATACTTTTTTGAAATGTCCAACTAGCATGTAACTTATGTCGATTAGGGTTTTCTAATGACCATCCCTAAACACTTATTGTCTCGACATAGTGAACAAGATATCAAGTCACTTAGACTAAAGGCCATATTGCAAATTAATCGAGAGAATTTAACCAACATATTTAAAAGATTAGACAAACATGATCATTGATTTTTACTTAATCTTTCGAATCAATAAAATTCATTAGTTAACTGTTTCAGAATTTTCATTTAAATTATCTCTCAGTTCTTATGAACTTACTTTTAGGAACCCTGTGTGTAATTATTGTTTTATCTGAGAAATATTTTATTTTTTTTTATTTAGCTGGAGAAACACCTTTTACATCGCTGGCTAAAATGCCTACATTAACTGGAATGGATTCATTGGATCCGGCTACAGCTGCTCATGTTACAGCTCATGCACAAGCACAACCTTCTGGACCATCTGAAGTAATGTCTGGTAGTTTACAAGGAAAAGTAAGTTTCATCTGAATAAACTTGTTAATTTTTTTGGAAATCGATTTTTCTTTTATGAAAAAGAAGTGTATTTGTGTATATTTTATTTACTGATATCAAACATATGTCCACTAGTGGCTAATTTCAAGATAATACTTTTAGAGTTGTAGAAAGAAATGGAGTTCAATTGTGTCGGGTCTAAGATAGTTCTATCTATCGCAGGCAATGGATGATGATCTCTAAATATTGTAGATTTAATGGTTTAGAAGTTAAGCAGTCGCGCGAAACTGAAAGTTTTGTGTTTGATTCTAGGGAGTGCATACGTATGGATAGCATTGTTAGGGAACCCAATATTGAAACAAAACGTCTTTGCAGTCCCTCCTTATTTTCAGTGGTGCTTCGTCCATGGTTTATGCCATAAAAGCATTGAATTTTTTCAATTTACTGTTTAATTTTCATCACAAACTATAATTTTAGAGATCCATCTAGAAATCGGTTACAATTGAACATACTGTTATTATTATCATTGAGATAAGTAAAAGTCGTTTGTGATTTGCGAACTTAAAATTATAACCCAACCATAGCTGCTACCTTGACGTGTTGATAAGGTTTACCCATCATGATGACCCCACCGAACTATATTGGCTGGAACACTCTTTCTTTGGGTCCTATAGAGAGATGTGATATCAGTAAGGTTTTTACCTCTGAAAACCAGCATGTGCGGCCATGTTGCCTTCTCACAAGGAAGGAGATGGTTAGAAAAGGTCGACTCTAAAAATGTCACACCTTACCTTACCTCGCGGATTTCCGTCTCCGGCGGTAAGGCCACTTGAAGAGCGGAGCTAACACTTTAAAAACATCCCAAAAAAGGCCATGACTAACCGCCTCCAAGCAGTTATCTCTTGGTCTCTGCGGCCACGCTCTCAGGTCTCTGAGACCATTGCTAACCCAACTTCCTTTTCAGGTTCTTCAAGAAACACCCATCCACGGTTTGAGCAACCGGGAAGTGATATCTGCCCTCATGCCCGTAACAGCAGACGAAACCACATTGGTCACAATAAAATCCTTCCTATACCTTTTAATAACTCTCCTACCTGGTTGGGGTCAACGAGATAACAGAAACCAATTGTTAGAGACTTTGAATGACATGACTCAAAATCGTTTGCAATGGCTCAGGTGCATCCATTCTTTGTCTTCTTTCATGACCCCATCAGCTCAAGACCTTTTCTTGTCTATTGTTAAATTTATTTCATTGAATTATACTTCTTGAATAATATCTCCGAACCGTAATTTTCTCCATTTCCGCTAGTACTTCTATTACTATGATACCTGAGTTGACAATTTGATCTGTGTGTGCTAATGTGGTATGGCAACTTGATATTAGATACTTACGTGGAACGTTCTGCGTTGTAACTGACTGACTAGATCAAAGCCTAAACTAATGATAAGAAATGAAGTGGTTGAACATGTTAATCACTACACTTGTTTTAGAAGTCTTATCACCCAGCTTGGTGTGTTAACAAGAATTAAAAACCTCAATTGCTGTAACCAACTTTTATGACTTGTGGCATAGGCAAAATATCTATTTACCGAACAAAAAAGACAGCCTACTATTCAAGTAATTCACTGTGTGTGGTACTTTATGTCTGTGAAACATAGCCAGTTATGATGTCTATTACCTTTACCTCTTATCCCAATATGTAGTACATTAACTCTTTTGAAATGATGTAAATCAGACTTTTCAAAGTGATTCAATCAGTTATTTATTTGAGGTGCAATTATTGCACTGAATGAAATTTTACAAGATAATACCATTCGATATAACATTGTCTACATAAACATGCTTACTTACGTACTCCTGTTACCTCCAATGGAGCATAGGCCGTCGACCAGCATTCTCCAACATACTCTGTCCTGAGTCATACTTTCCATTTCTACTAAGTTGCTATTTATTCTTTCCATATGCGCTTCAGATTCTCGGTGCAATGTGTTCTATGGTCTTGAGGATTCCATGTTAGAGCTTGCTTCGTTACGCAGTCGGGTACTTTCCGCATTGTGTCCTATCCACCTCCAGCATCTATTTCTAATTACTTCCTCCTCTGAAATCTGGTTTTTCTCTCCCACAGAAGCTTGCTGCTGGTATCCTGCAAACGGATCCACAGTATTCTGAGAGGACAATTGTTAATAAACACTTGTATCTTGTAGATGATAGCTTTCGTGGTTCTTCAATTTCAGCTTCATGCAGTAGGATAGCTTTGACGTTCGAACTGAAAATTCTGACTTTGGTATTGGTTAGCAGTTGTTTCGAGTTCCAAACGTTCTTCCATTATTGAAATACTGTGCTTGATCTGCCGACCCATGCCTTCACATCTGCATCAGATCTACCTTGTTTTTCAATGACGCTGTTCAGATATGTAAAGGTTTCTACATCTGCCAAATCTCTGTTTAGTGAGAGATTTGGTTGGTGCATGTTGTATTGTATCGGAGGATTTTGCTTTTTCCTTTGTGTATGTTGAGAGCTGCTGATGCTGAGGCTGCTGCCACACTGGCCGTCTTCACTCTCATTTGTTGTTGTGTGTAGGATTGAAGAGCTAGATCATCTGTGAAGTCTAGATTGTCCAGCTGCATCCGATCTGTTCACTATATTCCGTTCTTGACCTGAGATGATAACTTCCACAATTTTCAAAAAGTTACATTCTTATTGTCTAATAAATTTTCTGACTTATTAAATTCATAAAAACGCATAAAGCTTTAAAGATAACTAAACAAATGTATATGTGATATGAAAATGTATCATAAATTATTGTAGATTGAATATATTTGAGTTTTTTATCAAGGTATTCCTGTGGAGAGACATTTATTGTTTATGAAGAGAATTTCCATTATAAATATTGACATGAGTTTAGAAATTAATTATCATTTAATTGTGCAAGTTAGGATCTTTATACAAGCAGCACTGATATAGACCCAAGTTATCAAGTAAAAATGGTTCCGACATGTATTATATATATCCTAAAACAATAAATGATGTTTCATGATGTTAGATATAAGTTAGATGAAGGTTAGGTGTTCCTAAGGTAAGACGTATTATCAGTTCATGATCTCGTAGATTGTTAAACTGAACTATGTTGATAGCCGTAGATTGCTTAGTTGCGATGGTTGTAACTTTTTTGCTATGATAATTTGACATGGCTCTGGATCGATCACACTAATGCAGATGTATTCATTCATTGCTTATTTTTCCTCATGATCTTCAGTTTTAAACTTACCACATGTTTTCTTATTACCCGAAATTATTTCTTTTCTTGAATTGTATTGTCTATATGGAGTCTTTTATATTGTTATTGCTTTTACCACTACTAGTGTTGGCATTTATCTTAATTTGTTATAGTATGACTACATAAACTGATGCATATATGCTGTTTTAATAATAGATTTTAAGAAATCCTATTAGAAAATTATACGTGTACAGTGTGCACTTTTAACCAAGTTCAGAACTGGAAAAGTAACCTACAAATGTTATCGATTGAGTAGCGTGTTACATCATCATAAATGATAGTATGAATTTCAGTAGTTGTGTTTTAATTGAGATGAGATCATCATCATTATGTAATATTTTAGTTATAGGAAATGTAATTTTCAGCAAAGATCAATTGTAAAATTGTTTAACTGTTCAATCATCAGATTAGATGAAAGCACTAAACAACTATTGTCATCTCTCAATTTGAATGGTTTATGACCATTCCAAGTTGTTTACTTTGTCTTTTATATGATTTGAAAGGTGGTCTGTGATCAAAAGAATAATTGTATATACTTCTTTGAAGGTTACTTATTTAAAATGATTACTTCCATTTTCTAATATATACAAAACAGTATGATTTATATGTACACAAATAAAGGTATGAAAGCAAAGGATTAGATATCACCTTGACTGTTTTTCGTTCATTTACTTTGGTGTTGTATCTAAACAATCGATCAGACTAAAAACGGGAATTACTATTTTCACCTTAAAAATTCTATACTACTAATCTAGTGAACGAGAACACAGGTGGGCCAACGGATTGTATTTAGCGAAAATTACAGAGTTACTCAGTAAAATCGGAAAACCATATCGAAAATCTTTAATTTGCAAAATATCAGTTCATCATATCGAACTGGACTGTTCCTGTTGCGAAACATCAATCCATTGTCACTATTCATGAGTTTCATACAAATTCGATTGTGTTCTAACTTTTCCTTTCTTGATCTTCCCCCATCCTCTGCTGCCAGACATTACGTTTGCACTCACGTCATATACTACTTATAAGTAGCTCACACCACACTAAGTTTATCCTGTATAAAATACTAGTTATTATTGTTTACTACTTAAATTATTCCATAGAATATTTTCAGTTTGTTTTCTCCGTTAAGTTAGCTTATTAACATTATAATTAAATCAAAGTATATTTATTATTTTTTATAACCTCTAATACTACTACTACTACTACTACTACCACTAGTAGAAATAGTAGTACTGCCAATACTTGTATTGATTAACTAGGAAATGAATATGTTCAATATTCTATGTCTATACATTCATAAATAAACTATTGTACTCTTCAACAAGACAGCTAGCTGGCTGTTTTTTGGTAGCCTTGTCATATTAAGAAAAAATCAATTTCATTCTTTTCATGCATATCTATCTATACATACATGTATATGTGTATGTAGTATTCTTTTTGACAGACAATTCTAGTAAATTTGTATTGTTTTTCAATTTGTTGTTATGGTAGTTTGTCCATTTTACATGTTTTGTTTCTTACAATTTTCCCAATCGCGTCATTAGTTAGTACTTTTTTTTGGGTGCGGTTATAATAATAATAATAATAATTATTATTATTATTATTATTATTATTATTATTAAGTACTCTGTTTGTTATTCGTTCTCTTTCAATGAATAATATCTTCTTATTTTTATGCTGTTCACTTATCATCACCAACTATTATTTACATAGCAAGTTTGTTTTGGTTATATATTTTTTTCTTGCAAAAAAATTAGTTTGCCTGTAAGTACACAAGTTTATGCACTCAATTAAGTCTTAGTTATACATTTGTATTGTCTATGGATGTATGAATGAATGACATTGAATGTTGTTATTAATTAACTGGTAAAAAATTAAACTAGATAGGTGTTAGTACAGGTTGGATTTATTTTATAGTTGTTAAAATCAGTGTTTACTGCTTTACCTGTCATTGTTCATTAATAAATGACTGAATTGTTAAGTTGTTGATATTGGGAACTATGTGTGTTTTCTAATAACTTGAAGTTTTAAGCCTGTGAATTAAATTCAGTAAGTCAGCTACAATATGGAACTTCGTACGTACGCACGTACATCATTTCAAGTTGCATAAACCACATTAGTAGCGCACAGAGATCGTATTGTCAATTCAAATCCCATAGTAGTAGTAGTAGAGGTAATAGAAGTATCGGTCGTAGTAGAGAAGATTAGGATTCGAAAATATAATTCAAGAAGTATAATCCAGTGAAATAAATTTTAGGAGAAGAAAGAAAGAAAGGTCATGAGGAATTCAAAAGATTACAATTTAAACAAAGACAAACAATGAATGCATCTACGCCATTACAAACAATTTTGAGTCATGTCATCGATCGATTACTATCATCTTGCCGACCCCAACTAGGTTACTGTAGTCCAACTAATATGACTCAGTTTAGTTGTCTATGAGTTCATAGATGTGTGTCATGTTTAGGTCCGACCGACCAATACTCGTTGTAAAAAGTCAATGTCGACTAGAAAGAGAAAAAAAACATGTCAAAACTGTATAATTTCTTCTTTATGGTAATAAATCAGATAGTGTAAACTTTTCTTGAATACACATAAAATTTTAAAAAAATATGAAAAGGAACCAGAGGAATATTATTCACATTAAAATGTATAAGATTTGACACATTAGATATATTATATTTAAACAAACTGGTCCTGATCTTGTGAATCACAATAGTTTATATGTAGTAGGATGATCGAGGGCGGCCCTGGACCCTATGTTTGGGGAAGCAGCCGCAGACATCCTGGACTACTGACGCCGACCCTATGTGGTTGTCCCTTACATGCTTCACCCGATGTTGTGTGTGAACTGGCATCGAGGCCCCTTAAACAAGGGTCTCAAGTTGGGTTCCGGTGCTTCAGTGCTGAAAAGGGTACTGAACACCAATGATGTCTGCCCAGTTCTGTGGGATGAACCCTGCTTGGCTGAGCGCTTGCGTTCAGTCGAGTCCATGACATCTTCCTCATGGAAGGGAGTACGTTCTAGCTGACCTTGTGGGACAAACTCGATCTTTAGCTTAATGCGGGGTAAGATGGGCCTCGATCGACTGTATCAACGCAAGGCGGTTGGAGGCCAGACGGTTGGAATGGCTGCTGGTTAGTGCACTGCTTGGGTGGCTCGGTAACCTGCTACGGGGTCCCTTGCCCGAAGGATAAGTCCGCCTTGCCGCCCTCGCCGATTGGCGATTGTGGGCTGTGGTTTGGTTGGTGGGATTTCTTGATTCATAAGTGCCCGTGCAGGGGCCACTGCTCGTGTGCGTTCTTTTTGGATGTCCGATGTGTCTGCAGAACAAACAGGACAACATGTATGTACCCGAAAGGGGCAGGGGTCAGTACTGTTGGCAACAGTGAGTATCCTTGCGCTGTATATCAACGCAGCGATGTGCATGTGCAGCAGGCATGTTGGTTGACCATGATATTTTTCTTATCCGAATTTCTTTTTTTTGTTTTCCTTACAGTATGATTTACATTTTTTGAAAAAAATTGCCCCTGGATCAGAGACATCCAATATATTGGTTGGTGAAACAACATTTTTAACAACACAAATTACTGTATTTATTCGATTAAAAGAAGCTGTATTACTTGGTGATTTAACTGAAGTCCCTGTACCAACAAGATTTTTATTTATACATTTGGGTACTATGAATAATGCAGCGAAATATCGTGAAATTGGTCGTTCAATGGGTGTACTTATGTCGGATGAAGTAAATTTGGTTTTTTATTTTTTATTTTTTGCTTATCAAGTTAATAGTTTTTTCTCTGGGCTTGGTAATAAAGGGTTTGTAGGCTATGGTTTGCTCCATCGCAGATCGTCTGAATGTGAAACGCATGCTCACCTCTCAGACTGACCACTTGAATAAGAAAGTATAAGCGAAAGAGGAAGTCTATTTGTCTACCGAATCATATATATATATATATTCCTTAGAAAATGAATTCCTATCTATCTGAAGTTTGTGCTGATGATGTTGTTCAGAAGAACAATGAAAGCTCCACAACCAAAACACCCAGCTCAGAGAACCAAACATCACCACCACAATTCCTATCTTGTCCAAAGATTATGCATTATATATCTGATGTTAACCAAATGACCTTCCTGTTCGGCTACTTTTGATTGACTTTCTTAATATCAGGTTTACAATGCATACCATGTATCTGTCACTTAAATGTTTCATAGATACTTCACATAGTAATAATTATATGTTCATCAATGACTAGTTCCATGATGAATTTTTCGATACATATTTAGTGCGACAATTAATTGACCTGTTGTACATCAATAACATTTGATAATATTTATTTGATCTGCGATGTAAGTTGACTTGACACTTGGATCACAAATATCCTTATCTGAACGATGGATGATACTGTACTTGTTTTGGAATCTCATTTAAAAAACTCACAGTTAAATTACATTTAAGGCATTTGAAAAAAAAAATTGAGCGAATACATTTATCATGGATTGTGTATTTTATTGAATTACATTTGTTGTTATAGCCAATATAGAGCATAAAATACAGTTCACGTTTATGCCATTTCGTCATCTGTTTATTAGAAATATGAGAAATTGAAAAATTGACTTTCAAAACTAACTGAAATAATCTAATCACAAAGATAATGACCAAAACTTAAATATTAAGAATAGATTTCAGAAATATAGGAAAATAAAGAGTGTGAATTCATGTGAATCATTGTGAATTATTCTGAAATATTATAATATCACTTGTCATTTCGTAACAACTTATCCTGATTATCAATCATATCAATTCCTAATAGATACTAATTCTCAAAATAAACTAACCTAATTACTTTCAGTCAGTCAGTCAGTCAGTTACAACGTAGAACTTCGTACGTACGTACGTACATCAGTTCGGTTTGCCATATCGCATTAGCATAGAGACGACACTGTCAGTTCAAATCCCATAGTGGTGGAGATAGAAGAAATATCAACGGTAATGTAGTATGTTAGGGATCGAAGATATTATTCAAGTATAGTTCAGTTAGATAAGTTTAGAAAGACAAAGGTAAAGGGTGTTGACGAATCCAGAAGATTAGGATTTCAGAGAACACAAAGAGTGGATGCACCTGTGCCATTGCAAACGATTTTAAGCCATGTCATTGAAGGTCTCTAACCATTAGTGACTTCGTCTCGCAGACTCCAACCAAGTAGTCGACACCTACCAACATGACTCAGTTCACTTGTCAGTGACTTCATGGATTTGTGTCATGTTTTGTTTTGGTCGCCCTTAACCTCATTACTTTATTATGTTTCTAATAAAATGTATGTGATTACATTGATGAAGAAAATTAGTGAAAACTATAAAATAATGTTTGTTTTTTTCTGAACAAATCATAATATCATTATTATTAATTTTGCTAATTATTTCTAAAAAAACATCTCTCTCTCTTCTTTCTAGGTATTTCATGATGTTGCTTATAAAGCTCGTACTAGAGCAGATTTATTAGCTGGTTTAGATGAATTCTTAAGTGCTGCCACAGTATTACCACCTGGTGAATGGGATCCATCAATACGTATTGAACCACCGGCATCTGTTCCATCACAAGTAAATAAAAAATTGTTTATGTATTATTGTTTATGTTTTATACATGTTCAAGTGTTTTTTGTACTACTTATCTGTAAGTTATTTCATAACATAAACTCTGATACGATTGTATATCGAGTAAAAGATACCGGTGCATTTGAGTACGACGGTGTAGGAAATTGGACAGATGATTTCAAATGTGTAAAAAATCGCAAAGCTCCAAAACTGTGCCCCAAAATATCGTAACAGTGCTCACTAGTGACTAGCTTCGTGAGGAAATTCTCGGAGTTCTAGTTGAGAAGACGTGACCAATGGATTTCAACCTTTTCGGGTGTAGGCAGTAACTACCAAAGACAAATGGCTGAGGTCGCGCAAAATCCCTAGATCAATCAGAGTTAGACATTAACACCGTTGGATGCCGGCCCAGTGGTCCGATGGTAAGGCGTTCGCCTACAATGCCAAAGGTCCCGGGTTCAAATCCTGCGAGGAGTAGGAGTCGTGGATGCGCACTGCTGATGAGTCCCATACCAGGACGAAACGGCCGTCCAGTGCTTCCAGGTTTCTAATGGTGGTCTAACAATGATTGATTGATGATTTCAAATGTGTAAGAAAGAAGAATTAAGTTGAAATAAAAGTATCATTAAGATCGATTAGTCAAATGCGTCGTGATATAATAGTTTCATGTTAACTCTATCAGATATTTCTAACCTATTATAGATTAAGGATTATTCTGTAACATCCTACTTGCAATTATACATGCAAGCTTGAATGTATATACAGTCAATGATTCTTGATATGTTAACTCTACCTAACCTCTATTCTCTAACCAATATTATGTACTATGAAGAAGTATGCGTTGAATAGACGAACATCATAATACATTAAAAATTGTTTATATATTCTTATCAACAGTACTCACTTACGATCAATGTGTTTTTACTTTCATATTTATCACAAGCATAGAGTAGTTAGTGTTCACCGTTTTTTTTTCATTCTTTGAATAAAAAGAATGAACATTTTACTCTATTGCCTCAGATAGACTAAATAGGCTTACAAAAAGAAACAGTCAAACGAGTATTTTATACCTTTTTGTCAAATTGTTTTTGGTCGTTTACTATTTCTTCAAAAATGTTCAGACTTTCATTCGCTTAAATTAAATTGTTTCATGTATATTACTTAGCATGAATACTAGTATCATTTTTCAGTAATCAGCATTGTAGGTAGGTCAATGGGTCTGTGTTATTATTCTTTGCAGATTGCTTTCTAGTAAAGATTTAGCTTCTCTTTTTGAAGTTACCGATTGATGAGGCTAATACTAGTTGTTCGGTTAAGGTGTTTCAGTGATTGATCACTCTATATGAAAAACAAAATCCCACTCTGAATTTATTCAATCGTGATTTTTACACCTTAGTACAGTGACAATGGAGATGATTAGTAGTTATGAAGAGAGGAAAATGATAGGACATTATCAAAGCCCAAATGGCTATTCCATATACAGTAATGTCAATATAATAGATTATCTTGCATTCCACGATAAAATAAGTGGAAAATTTTTTTGACATTTCAACCGCTTATCGGAGGAGAGTTTGGAACGAACGACCCATCACTAACCTAGTTCCTCGCATGCTGAATACACTCAAATATGATAGCATCTTTAGTCTGACACATGTTCCCACTGTTTGAATGCAATACTCACATAGATATTGACTCGAAATAACAGTTTATTCACAAATTATGATACATTTGATAGGTGTAGCCAATAATAAAATTCAAGAAGTACATTTCATACTCTTTCAGAGTTATCATCAGCTGGTTGTATACATACGTAGCACATTGTTAATGTTTGCAATGAAAGAAACTAGGTCACTGTCATATTCGTTGTAAACATCTAGCATGTTTGTTACCCATTGAATGAATTGCTAATTAGACATGAAAATGTAAATAAGGTTGACTGTGTACCGTGTCATTATTAAGAACTATTTAAAAATTATTAACAATTGATAACATTTGTATCATAACGACTTCTTGAAAATACGAATCGATCAATATTAGACCACCATTAGAAGCCTGGAAGCACTGAACGGCCGTTTCGTCTTGATGTGAGACTCATCAGTAGTGCACACCCACGACTACTGCAACTCGCAGGATTCGAACGGAGAACCTTCGATCTTGCGCGCGAACGCCTAACCTCTAAAGCAATAAGTCGGGACCCAAAGGTGGTACGGTTTAACTCTAATTAACCTAAGGATTCTTGCGCAACCTCACGCATTCTTTTTAGGAGTTACCACCTAAACCCGACAGGGTTGTAGGAGTCGTGACTGCGTACTGCTGATGATTTCCATGCCAGGACGACGAAACGGCCGTCCAGTGCTCCCAGGTTTCTAATAGTGGTTTATCATTCATCCATTCATGATTTCAAAATTAACTCAACAATCTCCAAAACCCTTTCATGCATAACGACTTCATTCAAAAAAAATAACATTTCATAAATTTTCACTTGTCAAAAATACACATGCTCATACTTGTCAAACAATCAATCTTAAATTAAAATTAACTAAACTTTTAAGCAAAAAAATAGTAACATCAATCATTTCATGACAGTTCATTATTGCATTGGCTAAAAATTTTATTGGCGCTTAAGGTAAGATTTCACGTTTTTTTTTTAATTTTCAATCATTATGGAATGTGAATGTGGTCATACTGTTAAACTAACTATCTTATATCAATGACGAAAACCATTGTTCAATGCTTTGTTATTTTCAATATATTTGATGCAAATCTATAACTTTTAATCTGTATTCTCTTAATCTTTACAAACTTATCAATTTGTACTGATGTACATACGCATGAAATTCTACGTTGTAACTGACTGAATTTACAAACTGATTATTACTTTGTGAATCAATCGATCGGTCGATTTTATTTTATTGATTGTGTTTTCTAATCTGCTCAACTGATGATGATTGTTTGACGCGCGGGAACATTGTAACTATTGAATGGTTCATTTATATATAATCCCGCCAAAATGGTACATTTTCTTTCATTCGTGGTGCTCTCCCCTGAAAATTTTCGTTTTTCCTCAATGGTCAGGGCACTGGAAATTTGATAACTCGCATTTAAAATAAAATGCAACAGGATTCTTGAAAGTATAGAGAGACAGAGCGAGAAATAAGAGAGAAATCACTATTTCTTATTGATGACTTACAAACTTTATTAAAGACAACGTATATTCCAACATACTTTTTAATTAACCTTTACATATTTGAAAAATCAAAATGTAGGCAAACTGTATTTTTTTAAAAGAAAAATCGTATTGTGATTGTATTTTAGCTCATTGATTTAAAAGACATTTTATATTATATTTTGGTCTCTTCCCGTCTACCACTCACTCTACATCATCTGATTCACACACTCATTCACTCACTCGCACACACACACACACACATACACACGTATACACTAAAACTTTCCTTCACAAGCCTTCTTTAACTTTTGTCTATTCGTCATTTGCCAATTTCATGCCGTTTATGATCTCGTTGAAACAAGTCTGTAGTTATATTTTTTATCATAATTATCTACCCCTCTTCTGGTATCTTGTCGTCTATACCTATATATATATATAGGCTGTGACATTTTACCAACCGATACAAGGGATATTCTTAACACTTCCATTATTGATCGACTAAGTTTTGTCTAATAACTAATTCACTGAAATGTTAGATTATATTGACTGAATTCTTCATCCCAAATATATATATATATATATATATATATATATATATATAATCGATATTTTTTTGTTTACGCCTGTATTTTATCAACGTGTAATATTTTTTTATTATTCAGGTGTAGTTATGATACTTTGTAAAATCACTGCTTGTACTTGTATGAAGTATGTTCGGTTAAGTATTAAAAGTTAATTGATTACAAGCAATTGTATGGAACTCTTCTGAAGATTTCTGACTAATTGATATTATTCATTAACTAGGAATAATCTTAGTTACTTACTTACTTACTTACGCCTGTTACCACTAATGGAGCATAGACCGCCGACCAGTGGATTATTTTTTCTGACTAGCTTTCTTTTTAGCTAGTTGGATTTCTACTAGATGGGTTCTCTAACCCTATACCCAACCCTCCTCCTTTATCCTGACTTGGGAACGGCAGTAAACCTAGAAGGGCCTCTGGCCGAGTTAGGAATCATCTGATAAGTAAATAAGTCTTTTATCGCATGAACATCTCCACTATGAACAAACTAAGTCGATTTTTTTTCGTTTAGGAATATGATGAATTATTTTAAAAGTTTTTTTAAATGGAAATAATTCAAGGAAAATAAGAAGCACTTCTCATTTTTAGAAGGATTTGCAAAGTGTTGACTTGTGTGAAAACTATGAAAATGATTGAAGAAGAAAAATAATTGAACCACTTCAGTTTATTTTATACTCTTACACTGCGTTGAGGGTAATTGATGAATTATATTTAGAAGAAGTGTCTGTGTATGTAATCATTTTCTAAGAAAATAATCAAACAACTAGACTTGGTGAAATAATGTGACTTTGAAAATTTTCATAGAATTTTCCGGCATACTGCTACGGATGTACTGTATTTTGATGCGGTTTGTCTTTCAATGCGTATCCGCGACTCCTAAACCCGGGACCTCCAGTCTCGCGCGCGAATGCCTAACCTCTGGACCACTGAGCCGGCATTTAACCGTATAAAATCGTTTTTTTTCTTAAGAACCACTCGTGAATTTACCCTTTCGAGACATTACTCTCAACTGAACGTGATGCACAATAGAAACCTCCTTAAACTGACAATTTTTGCGAGAAGTCAAGCATGAGAGAGAAAGTCTATCTGCTATCGAATAAAACTCATATATACTTGTTTATGTATATATACATTTCTTCTCTGTAGAAAATGAATCTATCTCTTGACTAGTCTTATGCATTCATTCTCTTCATGACATTTTCTGACGGTCATTATGTAGTGGGCCTTTCAATTTGTCACTTCTGATTAGGTCACTATATATCAGGATGCAAATGCATTCCATTGATTACATCTAAACTAGAAACTAACGCGCATTTCATATCTCCACAACTAGCATTTTCATTTATGCCTCTTGTCAATTGTTTACTGAGTTAAATTCATTTTTATCGTTGACACTATCACTCGAGTATTTATTGAATGATAAGAAGAAGTGATTCATGATTAAATGGTTGAATACATATAACCAATAGTTTTCAAAGCGGAAGAGCCTAATCCTCCTTTCTTATTTTTCAGTTTGATCAGTCCACTCGTATAATCCCACAAACAATCTCCTATGTCAATTGACATATCACTGACTAAGTGATGACCAACGTTGTGTTTGTCTATTTCTTTGATATTGCTAATCAAATTCTATGGGCGGCCATGAGTTGATGTTTCGATATTAAGTGGTGTGAGATAATGGGCATAAAACCCTGTAAAAATGATATCGGTTATTACTCATTGACAAATTGTGAATACTTTTATCATAAACATCAGGTCAATGGTGGCTTGAATAGCTCTGCAATAACATCTCATCTCGGACTGTGGGACTGGATAACTAATATTCGTATCCCGCAAAGACTATTATCTCCTTCAATTTTATGGGTACGCTCACGCCTTTCTAATTTGTGCCAATAAATACAAGCCTAGTTCTGAGATTTTGTTCTGACTGCCTTCTACCACGTATTACTCGATATATAACGTATAGAATGAAGCGAATAAGTAATGGGACTTATATTTGCTCATCTTGTTTCACTTTTTCCTAGATCCATTCAAGAATCGATCATTAATCTATGGGGTCACTTTTTATTTATGTGTTTCATTTACTGATCATTTGTAATTTCAGGCTATGATCCCATGTAAAATTTCATGTATGTTAAGTTGACGATAAAAAAAGATGGGAAGGCAAGAGGAGACAGCCATCATTTGATGTTACTTTTTTCAAAAACTGCAATTTTTTGTTTCTCCTATCCATTCAATGTTGAAAACGATGTTTTGCTGTCATTTGTTAAAATATAGTAATTACTTTTATGATGTTTCTGAGATTAGTTTTAAAATTCACTTTATATAGTATACTTATTCCTTCTATTTGTTATGTTATGATACTGTTCTTTTTCTCTTTTCATTAAAGGATAGTAGAAAAACAACAGTCAGTAATGGACCTCAGTCAACTGTTCTACCGCCTCAAATTACTACTTCTGAACCTGGTGCAGCAGTTGTTGAACAACTTCACGTTGGTGGAGATAAACTTGCCAGTCTTTGTTTAGCTGCTGTGGGTAATGCTACTCCACGTAATAATCAACCATTGGATGGTGTTACAAAACTTAGTGGACAAAGTGATTCAATACATAAATCGAAAAGTGATCTTGCACGAAGTACTGGTAGTCGTCTAGAATTGACAAATATCGAATCTGGCGGTGGCGGTGATGATCATGGTGGTGGTGGTGGTGGAGGTCATGGGGATGATCCAGCATTGAATCGAACAGGACGGTAGGCTTTTTTTGTTACGAATAGAAATTCCTAATACTCATCTGGTTGATCAGGTCATTAGATGAAGAAGGTCTCCTAATGGCTCGTTCAATGTATAAACCTATTTGACCAATTAAACTTTGTTTTACTATAAAAAACAGTAACGCTCCAAAAATTCATCTCCCATTGAGTCACAAACTTTCTCCTATCTCCAGTTGCCAATCAGTCTACGAAAACTTTTCAAACATAAGAAATAGTATGTTGATCGTTTAATGCTGTTGCAATAATATGGAACGTAGACAAATGGTAGCTACTCACATTAAACCCTCGCCTCCCAATGTCCTGGTACGGCTGTGAGCGGAGAGTGTCCGATCTCTCTCTTCAAATACACGTATATAGCCGCTGTTCATTCTACCGATGTCTACCTTCAGTTCTCGATATAATGCGCTCTTTGGTCTCCCTCTTTTCCTTTTGCCTTAAAGATTTCAAATTAGGGCTTGTTTTAGAATGCGGTCTGATGATTCCCCCAGTTTGTGTCCTATCCACCTCCAGCGCTTTTTCCTGATTGCTTCCTCTGCTGGAATCTGATTTGTTCTTTCCTACAGTAGGTTGTTGCCAATGGTATCTGGCCAACGGATGAGGCGTATCTGGCGCCGACACCTGTATCTTGTGCATGATGGCTTTTGTAATCAGTTGCTCAGTCAAATATGATCAAATCATTACGTAGATTCTGACATAAATATTTAAATTATACGGTGGAAATGATAATAAGAAAGGGTAAATATTGAAAATATGATCAGGTAAAACGAAACAGAAAATAATATATTTGGTGGGATACTTAAATTTCAGGTATAGAGGAAAAACAACGAGTGACTGCGCTTGCACCACTGTAACTACTTCCAAACCGTATCACCCAATGTCTCCAATTACTTATCATGATTATCACATATAGCCCAATCATTTGATCTTCACCTACCAACTAGAGAACAAACTAACTGTCAACAACTTCATGGACGAATGTCACGTCTCGATTTGATCACTCTCATCATTCTTCCAACGTACTTTTACTCTAGAAAAGTATCTTCTCTCGAGATTAGTGGTAGTTAGATAGACAAAACACACCTCTATTCGAGTCAAGTAATTTACTATCTTTGCTCAATAGCTCACTTGGTTTTTCTGTGATGTATGACATACTTTTAAGACCCTTATATTCGAAAATCTTCAGTCTGTCCAAACGATGCATTGTGTATTTATATATTTGATGAAGACATTTGGAAAGGCAAACATTATTCTTACTTACACTCTACGTTGTCAAACATGCTTATAAATCTTTCAAATTTCAAATCAATTAGACAAATCACTTATCATTCATTTTGTAATCTTACCAATAAATGTTTAATATTAACACATATATTGTTAACTATTTTCTGCTCTCCTCTCATCAATTTATCTTCATTTATTTTATTCAGTATCTTCGGTGGTCTTATTCAAGATATTAAACGTCGTGCACCGCATTATGTCAGTGATTTCACTGATGCTATCCATGTACAATGTTGTGCAAGTTTCATTTTTCTTTACTTTGCTTGTTTAACACCAATTATAACATTTGGCGGTTTATTAGCACAAGCAACTGGTGGTTATTTAGTAAGTAATTTATTATGATTAACAGTTTTTTTTACTGTCAGTAGTAAATTACTCAAAATCTTTTTTTGTATACAACTACTTTGAATTTTATAAATTGCCAATAATGCCTAATTATTCTTTGTACACATTAATTTACTTGACAAGTTTCAAAATTAAAAACAGTCTTTAAAAAAATAGAGATTTAAAACAAAATAAATCGTTTTTTTAAAAAGTAACTTTATACAAGTTGATGCAGTTGAAATGTAAATGCAGATACATTCATCTATGCCTAGTTAGTTATATTCTTGTCATTTTCCCTAATCTATTATTATCATTCCTAATCATTACACTAATGTTGATTGGTTGAAAAAATGGACCAATCAATGTGCTCCGACTTGAATTTGTCTCAAACATGCCTTAATAAGGAAAAAAAACATTTCTCCCACGAACAATTAGAAATAAACAATTTAAGGATACAATGCATTTTCAAATTATACATATATATAAACATAAAAAAAATTATAAAAAATTATTCTAACAGAGAAACTTAGTCAAAAGCACAACCTAGTGGCACTTGAACGTTCGTTTCATCCCAAATTGTGGAATTGGTCAGCAACACGTTACCACGACCATATACGTCTGGGTTGAATTCAAGATCTTTGTTCTCGCTTACGACTACTTAACCTCTTGTTAATAAACTAAGCTCTCAAATTCCCAATAACATTGATACATGATCAATTTCAATAAAAACTTTACAATCTTCAATTCGACAACTAAAAAGTTACGTAACAATCTACACATCATATTGATAGAAATTCTTGAAATATACTCAACATTAAAACTGATGAGATTGTCGTCACATTAACATTATCAATAAACTGAGTTATTGAGGAGAATCCTAAAAAAAAATTAATATTATTTCCTATTTCATTGAAATAGGAAAATATAAATTATTCATGATTATGTTAGTATAAATGTAATATGTAATTCATGAAATGAGAAACAATATACTGATATCCACAAAAAACAATAGCAATGTTTCGAATAAAATTTACTGGAAAAAAGATATATGATACCATATTGTCCATATATATACCTATTGTATTATACAAAGCTAAAATACTAATAATAATAAGGATATAAATAAAGTGTCCATTATATAGAATGCGGTCGAATGTTTAATGTTAAATACATTAGTATATATATATATATATATATATATATATATATATATATACAGTCTTAATATATTGTGTTGTTAATGTATAAACCTCGTCAATTTAGATTAACTTTGAAAGGGCTATATTAATATTATTATTGGTAATAATAATTAGTATTTTCCTGGTATTTAACTTATTAGTTTAAGTAATTCATAAGAAAAAAAAAACAATATACATTTTGATGTTTTCAATAAGGCGCTTATCATTTCCATATTCCAATAAATAGTTCGTTTTTTTTTGTCGAAATAAACTGCATTGTTATAAATGTATTGTTATGTAATAAAGAAGAGTTTTTTATTTAGGAGAATTATTTTATCCTAGTCACTAGCCTTCAATAACCATGATACGGCCGGGATTTAGGAAGGTATGCTCTCCCGTTCTAAATGCTGTCATGTAGTTACTTGTATATATCCACTGCTAGGGAGGTCCTACTCACCAGCCCTCTCTTGGCAGGGAATTGTTTACCGAATCGAGAGGACGAGGAGTGAATTTCTGTCCAGTGCTTAAACTGAGTTCGTGGGTTAAAAAAATCAACCTACGGGGGTTGTAAAACCGTAATTCTGAACCAGTGGTGCACATGGCTCCATGACCCTGAAGGAACAAATGGAGTATGAACCCATAGTTGATCGCCGACTACCATAGGACAGAATCTCCTGATACTGCTCCACTACCTTGTAGATTAGATCATCGGGTCAAAAGCTCGAGGAAGGGCACCTTAAGAAAACCGCTTGTTTCGGTTTGTCCACCCGTACAATATCCTAACTCAATAATTTTTGTGGTACCTAAATATTTAGGTACGAGTTTGAAACAGTGAATTATAGAACTGTGATGACTAAAAACTGTTCAGCTTGTAGAAAGAATTCTCAATGTCCTGATATTCATGACGAGTTGTTATTGTAATATGCAGTTAAATCATATTTGAAATTCAGGTACTGATATTTTTTTAACCGATCTCGTTCCTTCTGTTAAGTCTTCCAGTTAAGAAACAATTGAGCTATTCTTGTTGTGAACGAGAACACAGGTGGGGTAATCGGATTGTATTTAACGAAAATTACAGGATTACTCAGTAAAATCGGAAAACCATATCGTAAATCGTTCATTTGCAAAATATCAGTCCATCATATCGAACTGGACTGTTCCTGTTACAAAACATCAATCCATTGTCTGACATTGTCACTATTCATGCGTTTCATACAAATTCCATTGTTTTCTAACTCTTCCTTTCTTGATCTTCCACCATCTTCGGCTGCCAGACTTTATGTTGACACCCACGTCATATACTACTTATAAGTAGCTTACACCACATTCTGATATGAACGGTTCTGTTATATAAAAAAAATAACAGCAGCTTCCACAACATTTGATGTCAACACAGGAAAAAATATGAAGCATCAGAAAAACTTAATATTCAAGCAGAGCTACTTGAAATTGTACAACTCAGTACTAAATAGTTATAAAAGCATGACTATAAAGCACACAGATACTTAATGAATTAAATGTAATCTCGACTAATCAGAAAAGACTAAAAATCACTAGAAAAACTGATTTAAAAATTGAGTAGTCCTGTAATTGCCTCAGTCATTTCCAATCTTAAATTACATATACATAAATTAAGAAACATGAATCACCGAACATTGATTTAGTTTGTGATTTTGTATGTATTGACGCATCTATCACTGCATCTAAAAATTTTAAATATGAGAGTCGTGCTATAAGTAGTCTATCTGTGTTTTTTAATGTTAAAAACAGAACAACCCCCCCCAACCGTGAATGCTCACTGTAAAAGAAAAACAGACAGATTAAAAACACCCAGAGGAAGGATATCAAAAGAATAAACAGCAATTAACAACAACAACTAGGAAGAAAACTCAAGAAACAGTTGGTTGACAGTTTCTCGTCAACGACTTTATAACTACTACACTGAAGATAATAGGTATTAACATAAAAAGTTGTGATTAGAACTCAAAGTTAGAATTTATGGTGAAGAAAGTTAAAAGTTTCATTTAGAATGAAATAAATTATGATAATAATAATAATAATAGTAATAAGTAGTAGTTATGTGTAACCATTTCGAATATAATTTCAAATCTTATCAACATGTTTATTGAAATCATATTAAATTATTAGTAGTTGACTTCTTGTCTAGTATTGAGAAATCTCAATGTCAATTTTAAAAAAATTATTCAAATTTTTGTTGTAAATGTTTTTGAGCATTTTGAAACATTTAAATAACTGACTATTAAATAGATTGTTATTATTATTATTATTATTTTTATGACAGGGAACAATTGAAAGTATTCTATCAGGTGCAGTTGTAGGTATTTTATATTCATTATTCTCTGGACAACCATTAACTATCATGGGTAGTACTGGACCTGTATTAGTATTTGAAAGTATCGTATTTCGAATGTGCACGTAAGTTTACGTGTTGGTGTGTTCTATTTATAATGTGAAATTCAAGCATAATTTGTATTTCTACACTTCTTTATTTAAACATGTTTTCATTAGTAGTTCATACTAGTTCATGCTTGCTACCGAGGCATCGGCCAGTCACTCGGTCAGTTACAAAGTAGAACTTCGTACGTACGTACATACATCAATTAAGTTGCCATACCACACATTAGCACACACAAATGGAGTTGTCAATTCGAATCTCATAGTAGTAGAGGTTGCAGCAGTATAAACGGTCATAGAAGAGACTAGGTAGGGTTCAACGATATGATTGGAGAAGTATAATTCAGTTGAAACATTTTAAAGAGAGAAAAAACGTCATGAGGAATTTAGAAGATTAGAAGTTGAGAGAACACAAACAACAATCGATACAGCTGCGCAATCGCAAACGATTTTTAGCCAAATCATTCAAGTCTCCAATCTTACCTCAAGGTATAGCTTTAACTTTAATTAAAATTGATGGTGCTTGTGGTAGTGTCAATCGATCTCATACTCTAAGTGGTGTTTTCATCAAATTATTCATTCCTTTAGGAGACTAGGTGGTTTATCTACATTATAAATTTGGAAACATAAATTTTTAAACTCTTCCTAATATTCCATTCTTATCCTTTAATCCGGTTTAATTATTGCTTGTGTTTCTCACATTTTTGGGAAGATTTACATATCTTTTGAAATAGAACTTATGTAAAACTTTCTTTGAAGAGCTAGCTGATGAACTTACTACTGTCATATGAAAGGTCATTTCAACAGTGAGAAAGAAATCTCACTCCACAAATCAGACGTAAATGAGACGAAATAAAAATTGTCAGCTTTATATCATCCAACGTCCAACTCTTAAACAACTAGTCTCTCTCTTCCCAGCCCTACTTCAACTCTTCTTTAAAACTATTAGATTGATTTCAATGGTAACTTGAATTTCGAAATATCTGCCTCATAAAAGAATGAAACCGTCTTCAAACTAATCTTAGCTACACCGTCATGCAAAATAGAAAAACACTAGACAACTATTTGTTTCTTCTTCTAGTATAAAACTTCACCACAATATACATTCACTACTCGATCCGTGTATTCAACATCATTGTTACACGGACACACACACACACACTTCTATGGTATCCCGTCGTCTACTAACACGAAACACTTATCCATTACTTCTAAGTGTTTCCAATACAACTGTCTTATTCCGATTATTTCATGATGTTATTGTAAACTAAATGAATATTTTACAATCTATCTATCTATCTACAAATCCCAATTGTCATTTCATTATTACATTACAATAAAAATGTTAATAGTAATAAGTTAATTTTAATGTACAATTAATACAAGTTAATTACAAAACCATACATTATTTAAACAAGCAGAATAAAACTTCAATAGTCAGTCAGACATTATATTACACAGGAAGTAGTCAGTTGATTTATGTGTATGCATCATATATATATATATATATATATAGATGTATAATATAAAACTATAGAAAAGTTTTATTATGTATGTGTAAACGCATAAAATGTTTAAGAAAATCTCCATTTCAAATGAATATTTCACTAGTAAAATAATATATACAAATCCACTTGGTAACAAGATGCAAGGATAGAAAGCGAGAGAGAGGGAGAGAGAGAGAGAGATAAAGAGAAAGGAAGGAAGAGAAGCGCGAAGGGAAGGAAAGGAAAGGCGAGAGAGTGAGTGTGTGTAATATGACCAGGTCAGAAAGAAGGAAGGAATAAAGGAAGTTGACCAAATCAAAAAGTGTATTATTAAACAATGAAAATATAATTACAAATTTTCGAAAAAAAAATACTATAAATAATACTGATAATCTTAACCAAATAAATACTCTATAAAAATACAGTTATAATATTAACAATTTTTGAATTGAATCGAAAATATTTTATTTATCATACAAAATTGCGTAAATGATAAAATACTGCAGTAATAATTTGAATGAATACATATATTTATTAACCTTATTCTAAGCATTAATCACCCACCCAACCATATTTTTTTTCCAATCTTCAATTAATCATTCATTATGTTGTAAGTATGAAATGCAGTCATGATTATTATTATTATTATTATTACTGTTATTAAGTAGTAATATGTTTTGTAAAACATTAAAAAATATATATACATTAAAGAAGCCAGTTTAAGGTTAAACAGAGAGAGAGCAATTTTTGTTCACAATCGTTAATTATGATTATTATTATTATTATTATTATAACTAGTATTTTTGTTCATTTAAACACTACTGTATGAAGTTTCATTTAACTTGTGTCGGTTTCTTCATATCTATTATGCCCTACATTACATATATATGTATGTTACATTGTCAACATGAAAATTAACAAATACCGATCATATTGTAAAGAAAAATAATTTGTGAATAAGTGAATAAAACAAATATGTGTATATAACATTGAGTTTATCCGGTTTCATTTACTGCTTCATTATGTTGTATTGTAATATACATGCGTATAATACATATCACATTTGATAAAATTTTTCCGGGTTATATTTCAAACTATTATATATCATGCAATATACTATCCAATGTGAAATATAATAAATGCCTTTTTTAAAATTAATAATCCTGATTAGCGGATATGGTTCATTCTTAATTAAATTAGACTAGTAAAATAAATGAATTAAATTATTAAGTTGGATAAATTTTGATGTTTAAGTTTAAATACTATTGATATTGAAGAATATTTGAAAGTTGCTCTGTTTTGGTTTGTGACTTCTTAACAGAACATAGTCTACCTACAGTTTAATTCAGCACCTTTAAGGCTTACGACAAATGATAAATGATTTGAATTACTGAGTTAATAATGGTCGAGCTTACCTATCATGATGATCTAACCGAGCTATATTGGCTGTAACATATGTTCCTGTAGGTTCTACCATGTCAGTCAAGTCGATTAGAGAACGATGAGACTAAAAACAGCTGCTCATGTTCTGAGGGCAAGGTCCTACTGCTGACTGTATAGAGGTGTGATTTTCTAACAATTATCAACTCATTGGAACTAGACTTTCATCTATCTACACAATGCATTCATTGCATATCCGATCTTTTACACTAAAACTAAATTTTCATTACTGTCAAAAATGACCCATATTAGTATGAACTATTCTAGTAATAGTCTATTTACAAATATTGGAAGATAATCAAAAAGAATTTGACTTCAAGACTGGGTTGCATTGGCACCTGAACTAGTGATAGGGAGTGAAGTAGTCGAGCGTGTTGATCACTTCACTTATCTGGGGAGTCTCATCAGTGCTGACGGTCTGGTGACTGACAAAATCTCAGCTCGGATACAGAAAGCTCGATTGGCTTTTGCCAACCTGCGTCACTTATGGCGTAGGCGTGATATCCGTTCGCTAACCAAAAGACGGGTGTACTGCGCAGCAGTTCGTTCCGTTCTCTTATATGGCTGTGAAACATGGCCGTTAAGAGTAGAAGATGTTCGTAGGTTACTAGTATTCGATCATCGATGTCTTAGAAGCATTGATCGTATATCGTGGGACAACCGAGTAAGCAATGCTATCGTTAGGAAACGAGTTTTAGGTGAGGATGGCAGATCCATAGATGAAGTAATTAAACTTCATCAGTTGAGGTGGTCGGGACATGTGTTACGTATGCCTAACCACCGACTGCTTCGACGAGCCATGTTTTTTGGTGTAGGAGTAGGTTGGAAGAAAGTTAGGGGCGGTCAGACCAAAACATGGCAGAAATCCATGAAGTTTCTGACAAGTGGACTGAGTCATGTTGGTAGATGTAGACTACCTGATTGGGGTCCGTGAGATGAAAGTCACCGATGGTTAGAGACCTTGAATGACATGGTTCAAAATCGTTTGCAATGGAGCAAGTGCATTCATTCTTTGGCTCTCTCAAATCCTAATCTTCTGGATTAGCCAGCACCCCTACCTTTTTCTTTCTAACCTTATCTCATTGAATCATATTTCTTGAATGATATCTTCGAACCCTAGTCTTCTTTATTAACATTAATACCTCTACTATCTTTATCACTATGGGATTTGATTTGACATTTGCGTTTCTGTGCTAATAATCTGGTATGGCAACATGAACTTATGTACATACGTACGAAGTTCTACGTTGCCACTGACTGACTGACTGACTAGAACTGTTTAGAGTGCATTAAGAGCTTGATGATTTGATGTCATATTTTAAAATTGCTAACACCAAGTTGATGATTTTCATTAGGAATTAATCTTAATTCAGTAAATAAAAAAACCATAATTGTAAGAAGTCCTTTTATTGCAGGACAGTGCTACCTAGTTTCCAGTGAATTTTAAATAAGATTCAAATATCTACACAACCTCTCCCACTCTTTTATGTACTTGTACCGATCATATGTCCGCTATTGGCTAATTTTAAAAAGTAAATCCCCAAAGCTTTAGTAAAAAGCTGTGATCACTCAAGTTCAACTATATCATTGTCATTGAAATATGGGGGATTGATTGATATTGGTCTTGTGAATCATTGGATCCTAACCCAATCAATGCTTAAAGGTCAGTTACTTACTATGAGACAAAAAATTCTTTGGTTCAACCGCTCATCCTATTGTGGACATACATTGTTGATAAATTTCTATACTAGAATGAAACAGTTGTCCTTTATACTTCCCAGTTTTTTCAATCAGTGATGTAAACTACGGAATGTAATCATCACCACAATCATCTGCCTCTTCCAAGTAGTAGAAGTAGTGGTCATCCCTTTTGCCTAGCCCTCCAAAGATATTACACCTTACTACATTTCGTTTGTTATTTTTATAATTTCTTCTAAAGTTAAAAGATACTCTATTAAATTTACATGTTTACAATTCAACTATTCTTATTAATATTTCTATTATATAGGAAAATGGAATGGTCATATTTAAGTTTTCGTTTATGGATTGGTATATGGGTAGCTATTGCTCTACTCATTATGGTTGCATTGGATTTAAGCGCTTTGGTTAAATTTATTACACGTTTCACTGAAGAATCATTTGCAGCATTGATAGGTTTAATATTTCTCATTGAAGCATTAAAGAAAACTTATGCCATTTCAAAAAAATACAAAGTGGATTTGTAAGTAGTATTGATGATGATTATTGAGAGATTTTTATATGAATAATTTTTCTTAGTTTAAATGTATGGTACGTTTGTTGCATTCAATAATTTTTAATTTTGTTGTATTTTGGGTTTTTTTTATTGATTCATTAATAATTCATAATTTCTTGTTGAGTTGTATCTCTCGTGTTGCTCTAATTTCTCTTGATATCACGTCTAAAATTCACCAAATGGAATGCTGATCATTGATTAGTAGTTCACTTATTCTCTACCAGTAGGATCGATGAACTTCTAAGTATCAACATTGATCAATGAACAACATCCATGCATGACTCTAATGTTTATTAGTCCATGTGTGGTGCGAGCTACTTATAAGTAGTATATGACGTGAGTGTCAACCTAATGTCTGGCAGCAGAAGATGGGGGAAGATCAAGAAAGGAAGAGTTAGAAAACAATGGAATTTGTATGAAACGCATGAATAGTGACAATGGATTGATGTTTTGCAACAGGAACAGTCCAGTTCGATATGATGGACTGATATTTTGCAAATGAACGATTTACGATATGGTTTTCCGATTTTACTGAGTAACTCTGTAATTTTCGTTAAATACAATTCGGTTGCCCCACCTGTGTTCTCGTTCACTACACAGGTGCTCCTTCTAAGCCATTATCCAATCAGAGAAGATGAAGAGTACAAGTAGTAGTAGTACTGTTACCATCTCGACTACTTTGAGATTTGCCTTAATAGTTTCATCTCTCTCTATGCTAATGATGAAGTGTAACCAATTTAAGTTGATGTATATTTCATACAGGTTTTGCGTTGCATATGCAAATTGGTTTTTTGAACTTTGAAATTTCAGAAAAAAAATAATTAATCATATTTTTGCACCGATGATGATAAGCTTTGAGAAATATGTACACACGAATTCATTACTGATAATATGAGATTGTGTAGATTGCTAGGTTGTTTTGGTTTTAAAGGATGGATTGATCATAGTTAAACAGTCACTGTAAACTCAGCAGTACTGTATCAATGTTTCATTCAAGTATGGAACTTGTTCAGGTGCTAATATATATATATATATATATATATTTATATATATATCGATAATTTGATTGGAGATTGAACTCTACGATCTTTTCAATTAGTTAACACTCAAAACATAATGTCAAATCATATTGACTCATAATCATATATGAAAATAGAACCGAGTTGATTTCAGTTGCACTTAGCAACAACTAGATAAACATTACACACTTAACTGAATTGATGATACATCAAGTATATTTTTGTTATAACAGTTCGAAGAATTTCTTTTGACAATGAGCCTATGATTAGACTGCACACACACATACACAACTTAGATCAAGAACTCGTGATTGAGCTTGATCACAATGTATCTCAAATCAATCAACAATCAATAGACAGTTTATGTTGGTCTGTAAAGTGTAGGGAATGTGTCACATCTCAAATCCCGTCTGACTGTTTATCGATCCAGGTAAAATAACCAATCACAATTTTCCTGAGCTCATACAACATGTATTCAATATTTTTTTCAATGGTCTATGAGTAATGCGTTGAGGATTATATGTGCTTTTTTTGAAATTACTCCGTGATGATGATCAAATTCAGTCTAAGCTGGTCTTCTTTACAGCTCTTCAATATACATTTCTTCGTCAATACGAGTGGATGAGCATACTGTTTTATGGTATAATAAATTTTTGACGTAATGATTTATAAAAAAATGTTGTTGTCACAGTAAAAAAAAATAAAATCTACTCTTCTGATATAATGTTAAAAGAATAGTATTTTCAAGAGTAAATAAAATTTCTCCTTAGTTTACTTCCGTTCTACGTTTATTTTTGATTTATTACAATTGTTGACTTATTCTGGCACTTTTAAATTATAAAAATATTGATGTTAGATACAACATATTGAATGAAGATGTCAGGTCGGTCGATATAATTTCAAGTATTCATTGACTTTAGTATGTAGAGGACTTATCAAATACCAACTGACCACCTAATCTGACATATGATATTCTAAGCTTAGGGCTGTGGAGAATACTGAGCTTCATTGGAATCATGACTCGATCAATGTTATACCATCAGGAGAAAACTGGGAGCATTGGATGGACGTTTCATCCTAGTATAGGACTGATAGCTTGAACCGATCAACGATATTGCTTGACCTCACCACACCCAACAAGGTACTCACTAGTGACTAGATTCATGAGGAAATTCTCAGAGTTCTCTAGTGAGAAGCCGTGATCAGTGGAGCTCAGTCCTGTCGGGTGAGTAACTACTGAAGACAATGAGTGATGTTGTGAAAAATACTTAGGTTGATCAGAGTTAGACATTAACACCGTTGGATGCCTGCTCAGTGGTCTGTTGGTTAAGCGTTCGCTCACAAGACTGAAATAACTGAGTTAGATTCATATGTGTAGTGCTGATGAGTGCCATGTGAAGATGAAATGGCCGTCCAGTGCTTCGAGGTTTCTAATGGTAATCTAACGATCAATTCATTATTCCAACGAAGTATGATATTTCCTCGTGTAGGCGTGTGTATATTATAGGAAAGCTTAATATTGATTGAACCATCATGTTGCATATCTATCCATAAAATCATTGACTGTTGTATTGAGTTGTGTTAGCATTATGCCAAATATCTGGTGATGGACTCTGTGTTTGATATTTTTTCAAGCTTTTTATCATCATGAAACAGATTCATTCATTTCTTGTCGTATAATAATTTTACAGTTTTTATATCCATAAATTCCTTCCTTCGGCCTTTCCTCCATTATTACTTGAATGTTACTAATTTTAACTACTCTAACATTTATTTTTAAAACATTTTCATTTCTTGTGACACACTGAATTGATGCATATGTGTGTGCCAGTTAATATATATATATATATTGTTTATAACAACAACTAAACAAATTCATTCAGATTTATTATGTTCATTTCAAATATAAATACTACTTAACCGTTGAAATATTCCCCTCATAAATTTTATTAATCAAGTTTCTACCAAACTGTGTTTTTTTTTGCTTTCTCTTAATTATTAATAGTTATATTTATATATATTCCAATTAAATTCATCGTTATTTAAATCAAAATAGTAAGAATTTTCATTATTACTGACCGTCTTTATATATATATATATATATATATATATATATATAATTTTCTCCCTTGGGAAACGATCGATATTGTACCTAAAGTAATTGGATGAATTTGTACAGTACTATGTATGTTTTTTTCTCTTCTTATCTCTGAACATGACATGCTTATTTCATGTCTTATGGTGTTAGTTACAAAACACTTATAGCTAGCTAGCTCATTAGTCGAAATGAAGTTTCAATGAAATGAACTTTTTTCTTTCTGCTTTTTACAATAATATACATTGACATAAGTTTGACAATCATATTTATAATTAAGTATTCATATTTATTTATTTTTTCTAATAGTTTATAGTAGAAAAAAAAGGAGGGATATTGTTTCTAAAACTTAAATTATGAACTATTAAAAGAAGGGGCGTTGATAAGATTTAACCAATAGTCAGTCAGTCAGATACAACGTAGAACTTGGTACGTAAGTACATCAGTTCATGTCACCATACCACATCAGCACAGAGATGTAATTGTCAATTCAAATCCAATAGAAGAATAGGTAGTAAGGGAATTAGAAGTAATCGGGGAGGTTAGGATTGGAAGATACAATTCAAGAAGTATGATTCAGTGAGAAAAGTTTAGAGAGTCGAAACTAGAGGGGTTGAAGAATCCAGAAGATTAGGTTTTGAGAGAACACAAAGAATAAATGCACCGGCGCCACTGCAAACGATTTTAAGCCATGTCATTCAAGGTCTCTAAACATCGATTATTATCATCTCGCGGACCCCAACCAGGTAGTCGACAATTACCGAGGTGGATAAGTCCGCTCGTCAATGACTTCATGGATTTCTACCATGTTTTGGTTTGGCCGCCCCTAGCTTTCTTCTAACCTACTCCTACACTACAAAACAGAGCTCGACGAGGCAGTCGGTGGTTAGGCATACGCAACACATGTCCCAACCACCTCAACTGATGAATTTTCACCTCTTCATTTATTGATCGGCGATTCTGACCTAGCATCCGGGTCCTAATAACAGCGTTGCTCACTCGGTTGTCCCATGATACACCAGCAATTCTTCGGAGACACCAATGATCGAAAATCAGTAACCTGCGGATATCTTCTACTCCAACCGGCCATGTTTCACAGCCATAAAGTAAGACGGAGCGAACCACTGCACAGTACACTCGTCCTTTAGTCAGCAAACGGATATCTCGCCTACGCCATAAGTGACGCAGATTGGCAAAAGCCAATCGAGCCTTCTGTATCCGAGCTGAGATTTCGTCAGTCACCAGGCCATCGGTACTGATGAGACTCCCCAGATAAGTGAAGCGGTCTACACGTTCGACTACTTCACTCCCTATCACTTTTTCAGGTGCCGATGAAACCCAATCTTGAATCAACATTTTGCATTTTGAGGGGGAAAACCGCATCCTGAACATGCTTGCATTGTTGCTTAAGGTGGTCAGAAGACTCTGCGATTTGTCAGCGTCTTCACTAAGTAGGACAATGTCATTGGCATATTCTAAATCTATAAGCGAGCCACCTGGTAGAAGGTCTACTCCAGAAAATTCAGACGAGGATAAGGTTATTTCTAGGAGCATGTCTATGATAAAATTAAACAATAATGGAGAGAGTGGACATCCCTGACGGACACCACTTGAAGTAAAGAATTCCGTTGACAGTTCTCCATTAGCTCTCACTCGACCAGTGGTGTTCGAGTAGAGAGCGTGTATAAGGTGATTTAACCAATAGATCAAACATTTAGTTTTTAAGTATTAAATCCAAGTTTAGTTAATTAGTTGGGACATGTGTAATTAATGCCTAACGATTGAACCTTAGCGAGCGATGTTTTATGATGTAGGAGTGGGCTTGAAGGAAAGCCAGTGGCGGCTAGACCAAA